GAGGGAATGAGGAGGGGGACTTGGAGGGCTCTGCTCCCTTGACCCTCACCAGCACATGGCTTTGGGGAGGTTAGAACCACCCTAGGCCTCATTTTGGACCCCAAACAAGGAAGAGATTATCATGGAAGGCAAGAGGGAGGAGCCTTAGGTGGGGACTAGGGGTGAGAAAGGCCCAGGCAGCCTGGGTGTCCTGGGTACATGCTTTACATAAGTCCCTGCACCAACGAGGGTGTTCTGGGCCTCTTTCTGAATATGTGCTGTATCTCGAGATGTTCACAGCATCTACCGCAAGAGGTCATCAGGAGCCCAGTGAGACATGCTCTGGAAGCATCTAAGGGCACCCGGCAGGGAAGAAGTGCTTAGTTTCTATCATCATCATCCTCGGCCTGTGGGCATGGGAGCGGGGTCCCCAGCGGGCCTGTGTTCATAGTTTGCAGAACATTCTCTCGGCCCTGAGAAGGTGTGGGCCTTGTCCCTAGGTGAGGGCACCAAGGCTCCCAGAGAAGGTCCACTGCCTGGGACATCTGTGGGTGACTGGAGGTGGGGTCCCAGAGGGTGAAGGGATGGGGCAACACAGACCGCAGCCCCTTCCCACTAGAATCAGCTCTGCATCGCCACGAAGACATCCCTGCCCAGCCTGGGCAATGAGGAGACCCAGCTGAACTGGATCCAGCACCCTCAGGAGCCCTGCTCCTCACAGGGGTTTCCCGGGAGCGAGTTTCCGAGGCTGGCCTGGCCAGGGTCTTGGGGGTGGGGTGGGGTGCAGCAGAGGGGCTCTAGGCTGCAGGGAGTGGAGGTGGGTGGAGGGCAGGGGGTCCATGGGAGGTAGATTTGGAGCTGTAAGGGTCTCCAGGAGCTGGGACAGTGGGACACCTCAACTTCTCCTTCCTAGATGGCCTCCTGATCATCCCTTCCAGGCCATCCTCTGGCCCTGTCAGGACCCGTCCCTGGAAACCCTTGACCACACCCTCCCCACTCAGTCTTCAGGGACCCATGGAAAGATCCCTGTTCTTGCTGATCCTCTTGGGTGCTCCGTGGGCACACTGTGGACTCCCATGGCCCTGTCCTTGGGTCACCACTGATGGGGAGACAGGAATATTTAGGGTGTGAGAAGGTTGGGCTAGAGAGAATGCAAGGGGCACAGGAATGTAAATCAGGGCCACCCAGTTCCTGTTGGGGGAAGGTCAGAAAGTGACCTCTAAGTTGAGGCCTGAAGGAAGACCCAGCCAGGCTGTGGGGCCCAGAGGAGGTATGGTGACTGCCACCTAGACCCAGGCCCAAGCCCCTCCTCAGAGCTCACAGCTGATGGGGGCCTGGACAGACATCCAGGCCATTCATAAGAATGGGTGACATCTGAGCTCAGAATTGGTGACAGGGGTCTAGGGGGATAGTTTGGCCCCAGGTCAGTGTAGGACACGGCACGATGCACAAGAGCAGCTTGTTGGAGGACCTGCCAGTGGCATACTTGTGGGAGAATGTGGCCAGCAGGACCTTCTTGGCAAAATCCTTGAGTGTCTGGCTGCCCCTTTGGGAACCTGAGAGGGATTTTCAGTGGGAGAGCGAGTGACCTGGGCAGGCTAGGCTGTCCCTTGGCCTGTCCTTGTTTGAGCCTCTGGATGGGATGGGAGCCCCTTTCTGACGGCTCACCTGTTGGGGTTGAAGATAAGTCTGGGCTTACTGTGGGACTTGAAGCAAGTTGCTGCTCCTCTCCGAACCCCAATCTCCTGCGTCAGTTTGCAGGACTTGAGGCTGGAGTCCTTTCTGGGGCCATGGGCTGGCCCCAGAGTTTTTGTTTTGTTAAAGCTTGCTGAAGCTTTGCTTGTATTAAAAGTATTTCTTTAAAAAGTCACATAGTACTGGGTGTGGTGATGCATTCCTGTAATCCCAGCAACTCGGGAGGCTGAGGCAGGAGGATCCAAGTTTGAGACCATCCTCAACAAGTTAGCGAGACCATCTCAAAAAAAAAAAAACAACAACAACAACAACAAAAACAAAACAAAACAAATACAAAACAAAAGAAAAAACCAACAAGGTCTAGGGAGGTAGCTCAATGGTAGAGTGCCCTTGAGCTCAGTTTCCAGTACTGGGGGGAAAAAAAGTCACATAGCCACCCTGTAGAAAACCATAATATAGAGAAATGAAATAAATCAACCCTTACCCCCATCTCTGCCCCACTCCAGGCTTCGAAAACTACCACATTAGCATTTAGGTGTTTTATAACCTAATTCTTTCAGTTTTTATAAAGATGTCATTGCTTTATTTATACATATAAAAAATTTCAGTCTTCTCCATGAATACTTTTTTGTGTTTTTCTAAATAACTGCAGTATTTTCTAATTCTTCTTGTTAATGGATCCAGTGTCCGGGTGGAGATCTTTGGGTTCAGAACCCAGTGGCCTGGATTCAAGTTCTACACTCAATGCTGGACCCTGGGCGAGTCACCTAATCTCTCTGTGCCTCAGTTCCTGATAGGTCTATGTGAATGTTGAAGGGGTCAGGAGGATGCCAGTAGCACTGGCTCTTGCTAATGACTGTTGACTACGATGCTGAGCCACATGATTAACAGACCCATCCCCCTATTGACTAAAAGTTTGGCTGTTCCAGATTTTTGCTGCTGTGAAACCACAGAAGCAAACAGCTTTGTCTTTCTTTGGGTTATTTTCTGAAGATGGATGCCCGAGAATGGGATCACTAGGCCAAGAAGTCTGAACCTTTTTAGAGTTCTTGACACGTGATGGCCAGATTGTTTTCAGAAATGATTATTCCAGTTTACACTCTCACGGATAATACATGGAAGTGCCGATTTCACCATACCCTCGCTGGAATTGGGTATTATCATTTTCTTGTTTCCTTTTGCTCTTTTGACAGGTGAAGCTCATTTAATTTTCACTGCCAGGGAAGCCGAAGCATCTGCTGTGTTTATGAGCTGTTAACCTCTGTTTCAGGTCTGCTAGGCTTTACCGAGACATGTAGCCCTTCCTCGGATCAATTAGGAAGAGATACTTAGATCCAGGAAATAGAGAACAGTGCCAGGCAGGGAATGGCATAATGGGTAGTGGGGACTCAGAGGAGGTGGAGGGGCTTTCTTCTTGCCAGGCCCTGACCTTCCAGCTCCCTCCACCCAAGCATGCATGCCTTCAGACCCTTACCAGACACCACATGGCGTTTAAAAGGTCAACAACTCAGCCGGGCTGCTTCTCTGATGCACTTGAGTCCAGAAGCAGAGTGAGTGGGGATCTGGTGATGGAAGCGCAGGTTACAAGGAGCAGAGCCCAGGGTGGAGGTGGAGCAGCCCCTGCCGGCTTCCAGGAGGAAGTGGCCTGTGAACTGGGGCTCCCAGGAAAAGTTGGGATGAACCAGGGAAATGGGGAGGGCAGAAGGTATCAGGGGGAGGGTACAGCCTGCTTGGAGTTGAGGAAACAAGAAGAAAAGTGGAGTTCCAGGGGACAAGGAGACTGTCTGGGCCGTGTACAAAGGGGAAGGACAGTGAGGCCACAGAGGTCAGCAGGAGCTGGCTATGTAAGGTCCAAAGAACCCTTAGACTGGAGGGAAGTAGGGAGCCATGGGAGGCTCAGTAGGGCAGCCCATGACTGCAGTGGGAGATGGAATGGAAGATGAGGGTGCAAGTGGTCTCTTAGCAACAGCTGAGGCCAGAGCTGGAGGGGCCCTGGACCTGAACAGGGGAGGGATGACTTCCTGTTTCCTCCGACCTGTAGACTCCTAAGCAGGTTCACAGTGCTCAAAGCATGTCACTTATTTCAGGTAGCCCTTCCAGTCACCCACTCCCCACGCAGGTCCTATATGCTTGGGGGTGGGGGCTGTGGGGGGCTTGGCGCAGGTCCTACATGCTTAGGGGGTGGGGGCTGTGGGGGGCTTGGCGCTGGCGCCCCTGACCTTCCCCTGCTCCGCCTCCTTCATGCCTCCAGACCCTGCATCTGCTGCCCCCCTCGGGCTACCAACCACTTTCTTTCATTTTTTTTTTAAAGAATAAATTTATTGTTTTCATTATAAAAGTAACTGAATGACATTACTGAGAATTTGGAAACCAGAGAAACAAAGACGAAAACCCAAAGCGGCGGGCGCCTCCCCGCCTGCCTACCCCCTCCTCTGGGCGTGGCTCCCTGCAGCTTGCTTTTTCTGACGCAGGTTTTTATTTTTGCTCCTTGTAATCATAGTGTCCGGACACTTTTGGGTCCTGCGCTCTCGCATTTGCTTTGTTGGGAGCAAGTTCCCTGTGGCCTCGGAGCCCTGGGCAGGCTGCATTTTTTAATGTCTGGGGCTGGGGTGCCGCGTTGCTCAACGGCTCCCCCTGCTCCACCGTGGGCGAGGCTCCTCAGACCCAGCCTGGCCGCCGGCCTCTGTGTGTCCTGCTGTCTGGGTCTGAACCTTCCCACACCGCGGGGCCTGGCACCTGGTGTTTCCCTCCCTCAGCCCCCCCTCCCTAGCCCTTTTGTGGAGTTTCCCGGGTTGACCTCAGAAGCCACCCTCCTGGGAAAGGGTGTCAGACAGACCTGCTTTCAAATCCAGACTCAGCTCTGGAACCTCAGGCAAGTTGCTGAACCTCTCTGGACCTCACTTTCTTCATCTGTCCAATGGGTTCACTGAAACAGTAAAGTAATGGCTATCAATATTCCGCCACAGTTCCCAGCCCATTTTAAGTGACCACCTGGGGTCCAGTTGTGGCACAGCTGAGTGAGCACCAGCCCCGCCTGTGACAGGCTCCACAGACTGGTGGGGTAACAGGACTACGTTTGTGTGGGATGGGGCCTGTAGGGCTAGACCAGATTTGGGTGAAAACTTAACTCCCTCACTTTATTAGCTGTGTGACTTTGGGCAAGTTGGTTGACTTCTCAGAGCTGCAGTTTCTTTTTCTATTAAGTGCACATCTCAGAGTCATTGGGAGGATTCAGTGGCCTGAATCATACTCAGGACACAGGTATTGAAATCGATAGTAGCTGCCATTTTATTATTATGATTGTTATTGTTATTCCCATATACAAGGTGCTGTTGGGAACACAGAGGAAGTGACTGACTGGGGGTTCAGGGAAAGCTCCGTAGAAGAGGGAACACTTGAGCTGGGTCTTGAAGGATGAGTAGAAGTTCACCAAGTGGGAAAGGACACTCTAGGTAAGGAGCCTGATTTCAGGCTGCATCTGTCATTGAGGGGTTTGTTCTTTGGGGGATTAAGGCATTGTGTTCATCCTCGTGTCCTGAGCCCCCCCTCACGGCTGCCCTGGGGGAGGTGTGAGCTCCCCTTGCCCCTGCAGCAGCCTCCTGTGTCCTGGTGGCTGTGGCTTCCTGCTCATGGCAGTTGCTGTGTCCCTGTTGGTCCATGCTGTGTCTGTGTCTGTCCTGTGTGTCTGGTCTGGTGCTGTCTGTCTGCATGTTGCTGTGACCATGTTTGTCCAAATCGGTATCCAGAGCTCTCCCAGGCCACTCTGTGGGGAGCAGCCTGCTTCCTTGGCCTCCAGCTCTAACCAGGCCTCCTCTTCCGCCCAGGGGCTGCCCCTGCCTCTCACCTCCCTTCTCCAGGGCCTCCTAACGGACTCTCTGGCTGCCAGCCTCCGGCCCTTTAGTCCCTTCTGCACGCAGCAGGCCGAGGGGTCTTCCTGTCCCATCACACACTGCTTGGAGTCTCCACTCCAGGCCTCCTGGCCTGTCCCCGCCCATCTCCCAGTGAGCACTCCCCATACCCCCTCCCCGCAGGCCTCTGCTGAACTGTCGCTTCTGCTGGAATGTCCCCACATTGTCTTTGCCTGGCTAACTCCCGCTCATCCTTTAAGACCCAAGGCAGGCCTCACCTCCCCAGGGGAGTCTTCCTTCCCCTCTCCAGGCTGGGTCACCCCAGGCTCCAGGCTGCTAATCCCTCACTTGGGGACAGGGGCAAGTGACTCGCCTCAGATCACACAGCTGGTGAGTTGGAGCCAAGATTTGAATCCGGGCATGTGGGCTCCAAACAAAGCAGGCTGTTCCCTGGTCCCAGAGGAGGTGCTAGCGACGGGACTGGTGCATAGGAAGGGGTTCTAAGGAGATCCTGGCAATGAACTCCTGAGGACTCCGACCACTCCTGGTGGTGGTCTGGGGTGGGTGGGGATGGAGAACAAGAGCTGTGGTCACTGAGCATCTGTGGCAGAAGCATCTGGGCAGATGGTGGTGTCTGCTGAAGGTAGGGTAACTAGAGGAGGGGCATGCCTCGGAGGAAAGCTAAGTGCACTGCAGGCCTGCTGAGGCCAGGGGGCGGGAGCACTGCACGGTGGCAGAGCTCATGGTGGTGGCCGCAGCTCTTCCTTGCTGAAGCCACCGGTCACCTGTGTGCTCTTCCATGTAGCGTAGGCAGGCAGGGCTCCACTCAGGTTCCCCAGCAGTGGCCCGTGGCTTAGCTTGGTATCTAGCACGGGCGGCTGGACAGTGGCTGGAGGGCCAGCAGCCACCAGGATGCCGTTTTCAGGAGCAGCTCCGAGGCAGGCCATTCATCACCCATCTAACTTTTCACCTTTCAGAACAAGAGAAACAAAATGATGGCTGGCGAGCCCGTGCTTTGGCTGGGCTTCCAGGATGCCGTCCCTGTTTCTGTCTGGTGCTTCAGGCCCCTCCCAGTTTGCCTGTCCTTCCCAAGTGCCAGCGTGTGGCCACTGTCCATCTGGGCATGGCTGCTCAACCCTAGCTGCCTGCCTGCTCTACCTCCCCACCCCGACCCCTGCCAGGCACCCAGGCTCTCCCTGACCCTGGCAGTCCCTGTGCCCAGGATGCTCCCTGAAGCCTCCGCACCACTGACATCTGGCTCGTCCTCATGTTCAGCGTGGCCTTTGAGGCCCTGCTGGCTGGCCTGCATCCCTCCCACCTCCTCATTCTCCTGCTCTTTGGTGCCCACTGCCCAAGCCTGTTGTGTGCCGCCACCTCCATGCTCTGCTTGAGCTGCTGCCTCTGCCAGGAATGCCCTCTGCCTCATCCATCTGCCCCAAGCACACAGCTGGCCGCACCTGGCTCCTGCTTCACACCCCCCACAAGACAAGGCCGTAGTAGCTTAGCCTGGCTCTGTCTGCCTTCCTCCTTCTTCACCTCTTGCCAGGTCCCAGGGTGGCATAGGGACCTCGAAGGCTTGTTGGGCACTCACTGTGCACCTAGCAGTGGTTCAGGAAATGCTCTGTCCCTGCCTCCCTGCATCTGGCACATAGGAAGTGGACGCCAGAGCCAGGGTCGTTGACTAAATCATTATAGTACCTAGCTCCAGCCAGACGGGTGCGGATGAACCAGATAGGGGCTGCACAGATCAAAGTGACCAGGGGCAGACCCCTTCCCTCTGTGGGCCTGGATCCCCAGTAGGGTAAGCAGTGGTCCCTGGTGGACTACAAGCTGATGAGTAGCAGCTCTGGACCTTAGGCAAGCTCCCTAACATTGACACTGAACTGAAGGGAGGAGAGGTAGGTGGCTCCCCCAGAACTGTCTGAGGAGCAGCCTGGTACAGTGGGTAGTGTCCTGAGCCAAGGATGGAATGAGGTAGGGCAGCTTCTCTTACCCCATTTTGCAGATGAGGAAAATTGAGACTTAGAGGGCCAACCCCCAACATTGCAGCACTGTTGCCATCTCCGTGGCTCAGAGCAAGCAACCTCCCTACTGATTCCCTTGTGTGTTACTCTGTGGAAATGGGGCAAACACCCTTCTCTGATTTCCATCCTCCTGGGGTTCTGGAAGTTATGACAGTGGATACAGAAGGGCTTGACAAATTGTGCACAGCTAGAGGATTGATTGGGATTGTCTTCAGTGATTCTGATTAACATTCCTTCATTTACTCATTCTGCTGTGCACCTCACATTATTGATAACCTCTGGGCCTGAATACTGGAGATACCCAGACAAACCAGACAGTTCCCAGGCTCCCCTGTCCCCCCATCTCACTGTCTCCCTTAGCCCTATCTTTGCTCACCCATAGGGTCACAGCCATGCTATCCTGAGGGAGGGTACATCCACAAACCTAGTCAGGATGCTTTGTCCTTTCCCTAAACAGCTAAGGGACATAGGCACTGGACATTGAATCAGGTAGATTGGAATGGGAGTCTCAGCTTTATGTGCTTACTTGCTGTGTGACTTTGAGAAAGTCACTTCTCTGTTGCAAAATTGGGATGATGAGTATCTGTCAGTGTGCTTGCATAAGGTAGGCTTTTGAGGACCTGCAGCCTCCTCTCTGCTATTATTTCGAGATTTTTCTGGGAAAGGAGAAGCCCCAGGGATTTGCAGTCCCCAGGATTTGGAACTCCAGGCAGAAGTATTTCTTGTGTTGGGCTGTAAGGAGTGGGTAGGGTTTGGATGGGCAGAGGGAAGGGCCTTGTGTGAGTGGCAGAAGCAGGAGGCTGATAGAGGGCAAGAGCTGCCTCAGACTCCCAGGCTGGGCAGGCTCAGACCAAACCAGCTCCAGGCTGGAAGTGAGGGGCAAAGATTTTTACATGTAAATATTGAGCTATTTACATGTGGGTACTTGCTCTACCAAGGACTAGGGTTTGCAATACAAATTCCCCAAAGGAACCAACTTGAGCAAATCTGATCTCTAGTTTGACCCTGGCATCCCAGCCCTGTGTTGTGGACAGGTCGCTTCCTTCCCCTTTCTCCAAGCCTCAAGTTTCTTAACTATAAAATGGAAATAAGTCAGGTGCAGTGTCGAATGTCTATAATCCCACTGACTTGAGCTGAGGCAAGAGGATCACAAGTTGGAGACCAGCCTTAGCAACTTAGCAAAACCCTGTCTCAAAATTAAAAAAAAGAAAAAAAGAAAGAAAAGAAAGAAAGAAAGAAAATGAAAGAAAAAAGGCTGGGGATGTAGCTTAGGGGTAGAGTGCTTGCCTGGCATGTTATAAGACTCTGAGTTCAATCCCTAGTACGTCAGGGGGGAAAAAAAGCATTATAACTCTAGTGCTGCTTTTCAAATAAAGATCATAAAAGATAATTTGTATGAAAGTTCTTTCTTAAAATGTTCAGATTAGGGGATGGGATTGTGGCTCAGTGGCAGAGCACTTGCCTAGCATGCTTGAGGCCCTGGGTTCGATCCTCTGCACCATATAAAAATAAACAAATAAAATAAAGGTATTGTGTCCATCCACAACTAAAAAAAAATATTTAAAAAAATGTTCAGATTAGTTCATGTCCTTATTGAGGGTTTTATCCTGAACTCTATTCTTATAATTCCAGTAGGGACTTCTCAAGCTCATGGGACCTGGAAAAGAGGTAGAAGGCTCTTTAATTTGGCCTTCCCTCTCAAAATAAACAATTTTATTTAAGCAACAATACCAGGCAGCTAAATAATTTCTGTAAGAGAATTAAGAGAAACTTGATAGGGAGCAAGTCTTAATGTGATATGTCTGTGCAGCAAGGTCCCTGTAAGACACTTCTTGACTTACTCTAGGGTCACAGAAGACTCAGACCCTCCGGACGACTGAGATAGCACTGAGGGCTCACCCTTCCTACAGCCCTGGTTGAAAAGGCCTTCTAACCACACAGGCCTGCCATGGAACTTGCCAGAGTGAGGGCCAGGAATCAGACTGTCACACACTTTGCCTAAAGAGCCCCAGACTCCCCTAGCTTCAGGCCTCCAACCCCTCCTTAGGTACAGCATCCTGGTGCACATCTTGTAGGTCAAATGTGTCCACCAACTCCTGTTTCTAGATAGCTTTCCAGAAGTACCATTTCTTTGTCAAAGGACAGTAATCATTTGGGTCTCCATTTGGATCTCTAAGTCATCCTGCCAAACTGCCCTCCAAAAAAGCTGTAACTGGTGACCCCAGTTTGTCCCCTGTATACTGAAGAGGAGGCCTTTATTCAAGGGAGCAGTGGACAGAAGGGCAGAGATAGGGGATGGACAATTGCTTCTGCTCTGTGGCCATTTACAAAGTTGCTGCAGGACACCCCAATTTATCTCTGGATGGGGGCAGGGGGCTTTTGTGTGGAATCCATGGGGTTGGTTCTGCAGCTTAGGAACCTACTGGGGAATGGAGATTTGTTGGGGTTGGGGGGGGGTGTCCTGGGAGTGCTCTGGTCTGGATGTGACCTTTGCCCTCTGGGGCCCACTGAGGGAGATACTAAATTCCAGTGTTATGAGCCTGAAGATGTGGTTTCCCTGAGCCCCGTGGAAGGCCTGCTCTTCTGGGTGCCAAGGGAAGGATTCCAGACACTGGCTCCAACTGGAGTGTGCATAGCTGATGGGAACCTCCTTGTGACTGTCGCTCTCTCCCCCGCAGGATGGCCGAACCTCGATTTAACAACCCCTACTTCTGGCCCCCTCCTCCCACCATGCCTAGCCAGGTAAGACCGACATCACCCCTCCAGTTGCACCCCGCGTTGCAGCCGCTTCACTTTGCCTGGGTTTGGTCTGTGCCCTGCGGGAGAGGGGCTCCAGATTCACAGGGGGATGGGGTCCAGAAAAGGGGCAGGGCGCGGCCCAAGCCCCCTCAGCAGGTCTCCTCTGTCACTCATAGCTGGACAACCTGGTCCTGATTAATAAAATCAAGGAGCAGCTGATGGCGGAGAAGATTCGGCCACCTCACCTGCCACCCACTTCAGCCTCGTCACAGCAGCCGCTGTTAGTGCCACCCGCGCCCGCTGAAAGCAGCCAAGCTGTCATGTCGCTGCCCAAGCTGCAGCAGGTGCCCGGGCTGCACCCGCAGGCCGTGCCGCAGCCAGACGTGGCGCTGCATGCGCGGCCAGCCACCAGCACGGTCACAGGTGGGCAGCCCCGGGTAGGCTGGGAACGGGGCGGGCCTTTGGTGGGCGGTCCTTGGCAGGGAGTGGGCGGAGCCTGGATGGGCGGAGACTCTGGTTGGCCGGGGAGAGTGGGCGGGGGAAAGGGCGGATCCTGGGAAATGAGGTGGAGGCTGGTGAGGCCTGGGCAGATAATTGGTCAGCTGAGGGGACAGGTCTGTGTCGGCTTGGAGAGGGCTTCATAGGTGAGAACAGGATGGGCGGGGTTGGGGGCTGGGAAGCTGAGGGGTTAGGGAGAGAGAAGCTTGAGGTGGCTGTGGGAGGGGGGAAGACTAGCCATAGCCATCAGATGTCCTCTGACCCTGTACTAGGAGGACTCCCTTCTTCCAGTGGACAGGAGGAAGGCTGGGGCTTGCCAGGGAAGCCAAATCAACCTAGAGAACCTTGAGACTAAAGAGAAGAAACTTGATCAGATTGGGGGAACAAGAGACTTTCTTGGTGGAGCCAAATTGCAAGGTTGACGGCAAATGAGGGAAATGGAGCGGAAGGAGTGTGTGTAGAAAGCAAGAGAAGGCTGTCTGTGTGGGTTGAGGAGGACCAGAAGATGGTGATAATGATGAAGGTGTCAATGGCAGCTTACTCCCGATAGCTTCTGCATTTACTGATAATCATTTTATTACCCACCTCACCCTGTGCAGTGGACAGATGCTATTAGTATTAGCTTGAACAATGGACTGTTTTTGATTTACAAAAACAGTAATTTCATGTGCTTCACCCTAATGTCTCCATTCAACAGTTTAGCAAACCAAGATAGAGAAAGGTCAAGTCATGAAACCAAGCTTTCATGGCTAGGAAGAGGCATGGCAGGCAGTGTGTTCCAGGGTCCGAGTCTTCTCAAAAGAAGTAGGCATTGGATAAAGAAGGCTCAGCAGCTTGGACTTTACCCTGGCAGTGGGGAGCCACAGAAAGGTTTTATGTAGGGGAGGGGGTTGCTCAGCTTTAGGTTTAAAAGCTGAGTCTGGCTGTTGCGGCGACATAAAGACTGGGTTGTTGGGGACAAACATGGAAGTAGGGAGACCTTCAGGAGGGCGGTGATGTGAACCAGGCAGTGGTAGTGGATATGGAGAGAAGTGGGCAGATGTCAGGAGATTGAGAAAGAAGAGCAGGCAGGGCCTGGTGCTTCCCAGGATGTAGGGGGTGAGCACAGGGAGGACGGGCTGGAGACGATTCCTACTCTGTGGCTGGGATGGAATCCACAGAGGAAGAGGTTTATGAAAGAACGGAGCTCAGTCTTAGCCTGTGGCTGAGGTGGCAGGGGACACTCAGGGTAGGTATCTAAGGGTTGGAGCCCCCTGATACCCTACTTAGAGCTTAGACAGGCTTTTCCAGGAGGCCACACTAGCTAGGTCTTTCTTCTTCCTCGGGCTCACCCTCTACCCCCAGCCAGGTGCCTCTGCCTCTCTCCCTGCCTCCCTCCCTTCCTCAGAGATGCCCAGAAATTGTAGGGCTGGTGGGCCTCCCCAGACTGCAGCTGCACTCTGCACATCTCCTGTTATTATGATTTTATTAAATTTATTTTTTCATTATAAAAGCAATATTAAAAAAGCAATATAAGCATATTAAGGGAATTTTGGAAAAAAAAAAGAGAAACTAAGAAAAAAAGTCGCTCATAATCTCCAGCTCCTAACCCTGCAGCTTAAAGAGCCTTTTGGTCCATTTCCTTCCTTTCCCATATTTTTTTTTTAATATGTGTGTGTGTTTTGCTGAGCTTGTGGTAGAACTGGAGCCATGATTTAACTTGCCCTTCTATCATCAACATGCTTATTGCACTTTTATTGTAAAGATAGTAACAGTCATTATAGAAAATTTAGAAATTACAGAAAAACTGAAAGGAGAAAAAATTAGGCTTAGTCCTATAATTGTTAGAGTTTTTGTACATTTTCCCTATATTTTATTTCCTTTAATCATAGATGTGAAAAGTGGATGAATTCACCAGGTAAAACAACCAAGTAATACAGAAACTGATAGGGAAAGCTTGCAAATCTCCTATTACAAAATTCTCCTCCTTCCCTGGATAGGAGACTAGCGTGCCTCTTCTCAGATCTGTTGCGAGTGTTCACACATGCCCACATTGTCCGTGTGTACCTATGTATTTTGAGTGTGTGTGTCTTAAAATAGATGCATTCACAATGTCTGTGACTTGCACTTTTTTTTAACCTGGCAGCACATTTTGGCAATTCCTCTCTGTCGCTGCATTCCATCTATTCTGTTTCGTGGCTGTGCATGAAGTTCTCCATCATCAGGAGGCCCCACATCTGTTTACACAGCCCCTGCTGACCAACGGGTTATGCCCAGTTTTGTTTAATCACAGTTTTGTATGAGAGGCCCCTGTACTCAGATCTTTGTGTTCATGTGTAAATATTTTTTATGGTAGGTTTCCAGAAGTCAAGTTAATTTACTTGATTGAAAGTTATGTACATTTACAATTTTCATGGCTGTGGCCAAACTGCCCTCCATGAAGACTGCAGAAATGTGCACTCCTGGGGTACTGTGTGTGATACAAGGCATATCTCTTGCCAACTCTGGATATTTTCTTTCTCAATGCAAAGATTTTTGTGTTCTGAACCACGTGATGAATGCCATTTTCATGTTTTTGTCTACTAAACTTGATATTATACATCTAGTCCTCTCATATTTTCTTTTCTTTTTTTGGTACTGGGACTTGAACCTAGAGACAATTTACCACTGCTACATCCCCAGGCCTTTTTTATTTTTTATTTTGAGAAAGGGTCTTAGTTCTGAGGGTCTCACTAAGTTACTGAGGCTGGCCTCAGACTCAGGATCCTCCTGCCTCAGCTCCTGAGTTACTGGGATTACAGATGTATGATAGCCACAATGCCTGACCTAGGCCTCTCATTTTTTAAAGAGAACTTTTATTATAGAAGTTCTTAAAAAAGTTTACTGTCGAAGAATTAGAAAGTACAGGTTAACCAAGAAATTATTTTAATCACTCCTATTATTCACATCACATTTTGGTCCTTCTACTTATGTTTTTCTGTGCACACACATGCAGGTTTTAAAAATGAACATAATGGCAAGTTCAGTAGATGAGATTAATCACTGTATACTGAACACTTTCTAAACAATGTTGCGTATTTCAGTTGTCTCTAAATGTTTCTGTATAAATAACACAGTAGTGAACATCTTGAACCCAGCACTTCACACATTGCAAGCATTCTACCACTGAGTTATAGACCCCTCGGCCTCTAAGGCTCTAACTCAGTTTAGACTTAAAATGTCTAAGGTATTTGCTCTCTCTCTCTCTCTCTCTCTATCTCTCTCTCTCATTCTCTCTCATTTAGTTCCCCCTGGGTAATAATTTATGAATGGGAAGGGGGAACTCACAGAGGCAGTGCGACCTGCCAAAGTCACACATCTGGACAGTTGGGGCTGAGGGGACCTCTGCAGCTCCCCTCATCCCTACCCCCAACCTGTGTGTCTTTGCAGGTCTGGGGCTCTCCTCCCGAACCCCGACTGTGAGCACATCTGAGTCGAGCACCGGCACCGGCACGGGTACCAGCACCCCGTCCACACCCACCACCACCAGCCAGAGCCGCCTCATCGCCTCGTCCCCTACCCTCATCTCAGGGATCACCAGCCCCCCCCTCCTGGACTCCATCAAGACAATCCAGGGCCACGGCCTACTAGGCCCCCCCAAATCTGAACGTGGCCGCAAAAAGATCAAGGCGGAGAACCCGGGGGGTCCACCTGTCCTTGTTGTCCCCTACCCCATCCTGGCCTCCGGCGAGACTGCCAAGGAAGGCAAGACGTACAGGTGGGGATCTTGGTGTGACAGGACCAAGAGATCTCAGGGCAGGAACTCATGCTGAGGGCTGGGAAAAGGGGACCTGGGGCTGAGGGTGGGGCTGGGGTCCAGAGGTTGTGGTCTCCTGTTGAGCCCCGCCCACGTCTCAAGCCGGTTTGTGGGAGAGAATTGGAATAGAGCCTTCAGAGGAGGTCTGTGGTTGGCATTCCATCACAGTCTAGTGTGGCAAGAATGCATTTCTCCTCCCTTTAAGTGATGTCCTGGTCACGTGTGAGCCATCTGAACTTTCAGAACCTGCCATTGGCAAAGCTGTAGCTCCAGGGATTCTGAGTTAATGTTTTGGCAGTGGGAGCATCAAAGGAAACAGGCATCTGTATTTCTCAAAAGTCCCCGGAGTATTCTAATGTACAGCTAGGCTGAGAATCTCTTAGCCTGTTAGAATCTCCTTCCCCAGGACCATGGGCATGACCCTGGGCAAGACCTCTTCCCCCTGGATCATGGTGCCTGTCTTCCCTGAGTATAGACCTGCTCCCCAGGCTGCTGCCAATGTCTCCCAGACTTAAGGCTCTGCTCCCCCAGACTGGAGGGTCCCCAGGCTAGGAGCCTGTCCTTATTTTTCCCAGATGGGCCTGTGCCCTCTGGACTCCTCATAGACACAGGGTCCTCCAACATGGAAGATCTCCCCAGAGATATCCTACAGGGGCTGGGGTGTCTTGCCAGGTGTGACCCTGCCTCTTGCCCTGCAGGTGTAAGGTATGCCCGCTGACCTTTTTCACCAAGTCTGAGATGCAGATCCACTCCAAGTCACATACAGAGGCCAAGCCCCACAAGTGCCCGCACTGCTCCAAGTCCTTTGCCAATGCCTCCTACCTGGCCCAGCACCTGCGCATCCACCTGGGCGTCAAGCCCTACCACTGCTCCTACTGTGATAAGTCCTTCCGACAGCTCTCCCACCTCCAGCAGCACACCAGGTAGGTGGCCTGCCTCATGCTGCCCTGCGGCAACCCATTCAGTTCAGCACCTGTGGCCCCCAGGGGTCAAGAGCCGGTTCCTTTGGTGAGCATTCTTGGCCTTCTTTGATTGGGCCCTCGGAGCCCTTGCTGCTACACTACCCCTCACACCACCCCTCTCTCCAGGTCTTTGTTCATGCGGTGTCCTTTTTCTGTTTTCTGGCCTTCTCCTGTCCATCTCTCAGTCCACCTTTCTCCCAGAAGCCCCCTGGTCCCCACGCTGGGTAAGGAGCCTGGTCTCTGCGTTCCCACAGGCCCGGTGCATCCTCTTCTTATCAGTGGTGGGCTGCCATGTGCTCGTACACTGCTCCCCGTATATTTGAGCTCTTGAAGGGAAGGGCTTGGTTGTCTCCATTTCCATATCTCCCGGGTGTGGTACATATGGGCATCTGTTAAATATGTGTGGAATAAATAGAACTAGTTCCTGTAGAGCATACGATTCATCCATTTAACAAGTGTTCGCAGCGCCTGTGCACCATGCCAGACACGGTTCTAGGTACCAAGGACACGGCCAGGAATAAAACAGACAAAAACCCCTGCCCATCGGGGCTTACAGTGGGGCTGAGTGTGTGAAAGGGAGACTCAAAGATAAATGCTTTAAGGGAAGAAAAGTTGGTGCAGGGGAGTATAGACATCAGAAAGGCTGTCTCACCAAATAAAAATACCCTAGGTATTTAAAGAAACAAATCAAAGGTTTCCAAGATTGCAGTTCATCTGTTCAGAGGGGAAGAAACACGGTTTGCTCACACGATGATTATCATCTCTGGAAGCGTGGTCCTGTGTCTGCCAGTATCAGCATGGTCAAAGGCAGGGAGAAAATTGTTTTGCTGTGAAGTTTGTCACTTACTGACAAAACTGGAGGTTTTCTGTCTTCTGGGACTAATACCATACAGAGGGACCTCTATACTTTGTTTTGTTTTTGTTAGTTATTCATTTGTCTCCATGGTCTTTGTATCCTTTATCACAAGGTGCAAAATGTTTTACCTTGTCCATTTCTCTGACTTTGGGGTATGGTTTGTAGGTTCAGTGGTAAGAACAAATGACAGAGTGGCCACAGGGAAAGCTGTCAGCCTGTTTTCTCATTTCCCTGCCTCCTAAGGCAGAGATCTGACCACATAAGTTTGTTTCAGCAATTTTCTGATGTTGTCATTACTTTGATTTTATTTCTAAGGTGGCCAGTGTTATGGACACAGGTGTAGGTAGCAAGGTGTTGATTAGTAAACGAACCCTCCTGGTTGCATGGTTCTTAAGATTATGGCATATGATAAGCTGCAGAATCTAACTTCTGTCAGGAGACATTGTAAAGCTCTTGGGCCAGAATTTTAAGTGTGTATGTGTGAAAAATGTTTTCTTATATTAATAGAGATCAGGAACTTAGAACCACCAATTCAACTCTGCCAGATTGCATAATGGTAGGAGTACCCTCTTTTTTGGAGACTCCTCAAGTTGGAAGCTCAGGAACTGATGGTTTTTTATCGTCTTCGAGGCTGGAACTCCCCTGCCATGGAGCAGTGCCAGTCATTTGCCTGAGGCCTGGGGAGGCCTCATTCTCACATATGAAGTACTGTCTTATGAGGCTTGTCATGCCTAATTAAATGGGATTTGTCTTTAAATGTGACATTTCTGGCATAGTCATGGTGACAAATCTGATTTACCCAATTATATCCTGTTAGGAAAGAGGACAGATTCTTATTGAACTATATACGGAATTAATGATTGTGAAAAGAAAGGGGTCTCACTAAAGGCACTTCGAATATTTTTTAGCAATTATTCTGAGTAGTTTTGTAGACGAGGCCAATTTCGTATGTTGTTCTCAGTAGGATTATTATTTTTAAATTACTTTGATGATTTTTAAAATTTTTATAGCTCCCCATGAATTCTGAAGGGTTAGTTTGAACAGGGCGCCATTTAAGGAACAATTTTACTCCACTCTGTTAAATATAGCCTCCTAAATTGAGAACTGGAGATGGACCCAAGGAGAAAAAGGTTTTCTCAGATGCCCTTTGGAATATGAGACACTAACCACAGTGAAATGGGCTTCATCCTGTCCTAGATAGTAGTTCTGTTCCTCTGACCCTGGGTTAACTGGTCCACTTTGCTAGGTTGTCCACTTCTGGACCAGAAGATCCTGGATCCTGCAGTGGCTGCCGGTGGTGATGTCACTGGAAACCTGCACCCATTTGGCTCTTTCCTGAAGTACATAGAGCCTAGCGTGTGTGTCCCAGCCCCTCCTGAGGCTGCGTTCTCCTAGGCGTTCTTTCAGATGACTCCATTTCTGACTTGCCACTCAAAGCAGAGGCCTTAAGGCAAGCTTGAAGTGGGAAGTGAGACCTGTGGATAAGACTAAACGAATCTGGTCAGTTTATTATAATAATCAACACTATCAGAACGGACGAGAGCAGAGGCTTCTATGAAGATACAAGGCATGATCTGTTTCTCAGATTAAGTACGTATTATATGCAGCAAGGGCATTGGCCAATCTTCAGGGTCTTTCATTTTATCTCATAAAGCTTGAGTTATGGTTATTATTAATTGGTAAGGGTATTTTAAATCTAGAGACCTATTTTTCTTTAATGGTGTTGGGGTTCAAATACATGTCGTTATGAATGCTAGGAAAGCGCTCTACCACTGAACATTGCCCAGCTTGAGGCAATATTTAAAAAAAAAATGCTTTTATGTTTGCTTTTTTTGTGCCAATTTCTCTGTGTTAGAATTATGTGGGTTTTTTTTTTTTGGTTTATCTTAAAAAGCACACAAAACACCAGGTGCAGTGGCGGCCCTTGCCTATAATCCCAGTGACTCAGGAGGCTGAGGCAGGAGGATTGCAAGTTTAAGGTCTGCCTCAGCAATTTAGTGAGGTCCTAAACCATGTACCAAGACCCTGTCTCAAAATAAACTGGGTGATTTAGTGGTTAAACACCACTAAAAAATCCCTAGCGTGCGCGCGCGCGCACACACACACAACACAAAACATATATTTAATGTATATGCATATTGTTTAGTTAAATGTAAAATGAGTCCATTGAGCTCTCTTCTTGGTTTTCCACCTTTCTTATACTGCACACTTTCTTATACAGCTGTCCCTTCAGCGTTCAGCTAATTAACAATATGGAGAATACAAAACAGGCCCAATCATTCCGAGCTTCCCTCTTTTTCTGAAGCCTGGGATCAAATCTTTGGTGTTGCCCAGCGGCCATCTGGAAACTCCAGGAGCATTTGCATGTAAAAGACACCTTGCCAATTTTATTATTCTGCACTAGAGGACTGAATTTGAGAAAGGCTGCAGCATGAAGTGGACAGAGTCCAGTTGAAAACAGACATAGTAGCAAGTAATAATAATGATGAAAAATTCTGTGTGGTGTTTTTTTTTTTTCCAGAAGTAGACTTTGTTTAAAAATATCATTTAAGACCATGTCCAAAAATAAATAAGTAAATAAATAAAAATTAGTAGGTCCTTGAAGGAGAGTATTTTACCAAAACATCCAGACCCAGGGATTACTCTCCATTCCTGAGGGCACAAATTTCTTTTCTCTTTTTTCCTTCTGTGTGATTAAAGTTCATAATGGCAGGAAACCAAGCAAACAACATAAGAGGATTCTATCAACAACTGGAAAAAAATTTATAAGTCACGGGGCACTGGCACATATAATTAAGCCAATGTGTCCTAGCCCAGTGGTAAAGAGATGGGTGTCCCAGTTGCCCCAAAGTCTCAGAGTCCTTTGGACAAACAGATAAACAAAGCCAAACCTAAAGAAGCAACCAGATTTCAGATTCCCCATCCTCTGCTGTTTGACAGAGACCCTGTCTTGTTTTCCTGCCTCTCGGCAGGAAGTCAGACAATCAGGTCATATCATTAATCAAATGCGTCTTTCCAGTGTAACTGCCACTAATGATGGGGAGAGGAGAGGATCGTGTCCAAAGCAGAATCAGCCCTGGTCTGGTGAGAGAGGAACAGTCTGAAGAGAGTGAGGAAAGTTGTTCCTAGTTGTAGAGAACAGTGTACCTGGGTGACGCTTTTGGGGGACATAGTTTAGTGGCACTGGTGAACCTAGGCATCTTGGGATGTCCTGTGTTGACAAAGGAAGGAACAACAAGGAGAAGAAAGGAGGTGACCTGTAAGTGTAGCCCGAGTCCACATTTGAGGATCAGCCCAGCAATTAATAAATACCACGTGTACTTATGGAGAAAATAGAACATTCCCGTTACAGTCAATCGATGACAGAAAAACAGCAATTGTCTCTCGGAGTTAGCATCTGACTAAGAACCATCCCACGTCCGCAAATGTCTCAATGCAAAAGTCAGGGATAAAATTGTTTGGGGAGAGAGTAAATTATAGGAAAGGGCTCAAGGTTTTATCTATTTGTGGAACCTAGTGCTAGACAGAGTGACGTATTTGTTTGTTTGTTTATTCAGGGTGCAAAGTATGTTTGGTGTTTGTTTTTCTTTTCCTGACTCTGATTTTACCAGCATGCCTAATGATAACTGCGACAGGGGGGACAGAGTCATTTTGATTTCTCAGTCTGATTATAATAATGGTAGTAACATCTTCAGCTTTTCCATATCAAAGAGCTCCTGCGTGCCTGGCCCTACACAAGGTGCTTTATTATACAAGGTATCCATAAAGTTCTGGTACTATGGAAACTTGTGTTTCTTTGTAAGAGATAATGAATTTCAAAATGCCAGAGAGCAAATCATTTTTAAGAAATATTAACTTCCACTATATCTACCATTGTTTCAGTTACAAAGCACAAGATGCAACATTGAAGCCATTTAGTAGTGGAGTAAATACCTGAGAAATACGAGAAAAGTGAACGTGGAAGATTATTATTATTCTAATGGGTAAAGACAGCAGCGACAACTACTCCGTCTTCTGAATCCTTAGTAATCTTACTTAAACATTGAATCATTTCCCTTTATTTTACACAAATCATTTATCTTAGAGATTAATGTATTAAAACTAACATGGCGGAATGTTTTATGAGCACCTTTTATGTACGGTCCTTTAATTGCTACAATTTTCACAATCCTTATTATTATCCCCATGTTAGAGATGAGGAAACTGGGGCTCACGGAGCCAGTCACTTGCCCTTGGCACACAGCTAAGAGGTGGCAGAAGTGGGATTCAGGCTCAGTGCACAAGGAGCAGCCTGGGCTGTCAGGCTGCAGACTAAGCTCGCGTGCACACGGGGTGGAGGTGCTGGGCAAGGAAACAGGACCAGTCTTTGGGGCTCCCTGTGGGCCTGGGGTTATGGGGACGGAGGAGCAGTCCAGGAGCACCAGTGCTGCCCAAGCAAGGGGCCCCCTGGGGTTAACGTGGGCACCCCATCCCTCTTCAGGGGGGAGCCAGGCCTGGGTGCTCCCCTGGTGGGAAGATGCCCTGGAGTAGGATTCCCACAGGAGCAGTGGGGGCGGGGCCTGACCTGCAGTTCAGAGATGGAGGTGAGAGCCTGGTCCTTCATTCACCCAGCAGCTGCTCCCTGCAGCCTTCTTTGAGCTGCCCAGTGCTGGTGCTACACACAGGGACAACTCAATGGTCAGGGACAGGCCCTGTCCTGGAGGAACTCCCACTGTGACCTAGAGACTGGTGGATGACAGTGGTCAGTATGAGGTGGAGGTTGGGGAGGATCAGCTGGGCCCAGTGTCGGTTACAGTGGCCCTTCCCAGCAGAGGGAGAAGCCGCGCCAGCAGCGGGAACAGCCTGAGCAAAGGCTCAGAGGCTCGCTGGGGAAGGTGGTGGCAGGGTAGTGAGATACCAGCGAGAGCAGTGTCGGGAGGAGGCGGGAATGTAAAGGGCCTTGAAAGCTGAGGCAAGGCCTTGGGGCTCTGTCATGGAAAAAGGGAGAGATGGTGGCAGTTACTGCTCAGAGCCTTGACCAGGTATGATTCCCATGGCTGCTGCCGTGGCTGAGGTCAGGGGCAGGTGCTAAGGCCAGAGTCCGGGAAAGGGGCTGGGCTGTTGGTGAACCTGGGTAGGAGGAAGCCACCGGGAGAATTTTCTGGTCAGGAGGGCTTGGCTAGGTCCCCAAGGGGGACCGGAAGTCCCTGGAGAACTATCAGTTAGTCAACAAACACAAAATACACCTCTGGAATGGAAGTTGATTATGTGGAGTATATTCTGTTGTCAGCTGCTGACTTTAGAGAGAACTCACTTTCCTTTAGTCTGCAGCTAGTTATTGTGTCCTCTGTGCGCTGAGGTCATGCCCACTGCTGGGGAGATGGTGGTAGATGAGACCAGAGGCCTTGCTCTCGAGGAGGCAGCCGAGAACGGTGACCAGACACTGAAGTGTGGACACACTTGTGGGAGTGGGGTTTCATGGTGCTAGGCAGGTAGGCTGCAGGGGTCTGACCTCTTCTGGGGGTTCGGAGAAGGCTGTCCTGGACGTGCCCTGAGAAGGGAGGGTGGATTTGGGCCAGGGTAGCTGAAGGAGAGGTGGCAGGACCGAGGGCTGGAGGAGGAGGAGCTCTAGATGCCGGAATTGCCAGCGGGGCCGGGCTCGGGGCCGGGAGGGAGGACTGTGGGCACGAGCCTGTGAGGTTGAAAACTAAAAGCGATGCGTGTTCTGGGGGCCCTCAGGCCCTCCCTGCCACCTGCTCTCAACCAAACCCACCCCACCCTGGAGGGGAATGAGGAGAGGTTGAAATGGAGGGGTGCTGGCCACTGGTGGAGCTGGAGCAGAGGGTCCTTCCCTTGTAAAGACAGAGCAGAGGCCTGGTGGACCACCCCACCACGTGCAGGTCCATAGGTGCTCTCAGAACTGGGTCAGCTCCACTTGGCACATCTAGGTGCAGTCTGTGAGCCGGGCCCTAGCCTTACCCTGTCTTTGGGGTTCCCTGTCTGGTAGACTGAGAATCCAGAGGTGTCAGCACTGTGGGGAGGAGCTGCCAAGCTCTGGGGGTAGGGAACCCTGGGTCGGGTAGGGAGGAGTGCACTCAGGAAGGATGAGGTGACACTGGGCAGAACGGGGTGCAGCGAGGGCAGGGCAGGGCGGGGAGAATCCTCAGACGTGGTCTCCAGGTAAGAAGTGGTTCCCTGACCAGGACGTGGTGCACAGAGTATGAAGGTGAAGCCGGGCCACCGATAATGGCCCAAGTGACACACTGAAGAATCCCGACTGGCTCTGGGTATAACAGCAACCAACATTACAAGCTCTCTGACAGCAGGAAGCCCTGTGACCCTAAGTGCAGCACTGGTCCTGGCTACAGGGCCTTGGTCTCTGAGATGGACAGTAGGCGGAGCAGACCTGGGCTGTGAGAGGGCGAGAGGACCCTGTTTGGCCCAATCTGCATTCTCCTTCCACTTAATGGTGCTCATTGGCAACTTAGGCGAACAAGGTTTGGGCCCAGCCGGCATTTCATTGCCTACTGGCTTGGCACAGAGGGTCTGGCAGGATGGGTGCCTCTGGGCCAGCTGGGGAGCTGGCCCTGGAGCTGGAGTGTGCAGCACAGGGAAGGCCACCTGATGGCATGTGCCAGGCGCGTCAGCTGCACTCACAGCACCATCCACCACTCTGTCCCCACCTGGCTGTTGGACAAGAGTGAGCTGTGGTCAGCCATCAGGATATCACCTTCTCAACTGGTCCTATCCTGTTGTGTGTAAAACTGTCCCCCGTGTTTCCCAGTCCCCAACCTTGTTCAGTTGTTCACAACACTGACTACCTTCTGCGTGTGAGTTATTTCCTTATTTTATGCTTACGGTTCTTTTCTGCCAGGCGGTAGTTTTTGTCTGTTTTGTTCACTGATATATCCCCAGTGCCTAGCATGGTGCCTGGCACACAGGAACCTGGTGTGATAAATGTTGAATGAATGAATAATAATTACTGGCAAGACTTTCTTGAGTGCTACTGTGCCAACTCTCGGCTGAGAGCCTTACATGTATTATCTGGTGCACTTTTCACAAAGCCCAGTGAGGCAGGGATTGTATTTTTATATCCATTTTGTAGGTGAGGAAACCAAGGCTCAGTGATTTGCCCAGAGTCACCCCACTAGTAAATGGTGGGTCCAGGATAAGAACTCAGGAAGGGGAGTGGGGCACAGGAGCTATCGTTAAGAACACAGAGGGACTGAGCTTCAGGGCCATGGGCCTGAATTTTCTAATACATGAGGGTGAACATGTCACCATCATGGATATATGTCTGACATGGAGAAGGCACAGGAAATAGAGGCCAGGAGCCATTCAAGGGGGATGTCCTTCTTCTGCGGAAGGAGGCAGGGTGGGAGGGAAGGTCTTCACAGCACTGTGAATCCATTCTTTTCACAGTGGCAGAGAGGACAGAAGGAAGTCCAAGCAACCTCCCTGTGCTTAGCTGGAGGCTGGCCTGGGTCTCTGAGTGGTGCTTTTCGTAGGGCGGGTGCAGAGGGACCTAGGGGGAGTGGAAAGCCTTAGTCAGACTCGCAGTGGAAGCTAGAGAGGGAAGGAGAGACGGTGGCCTTTGAAGTCCCTAGATCTCTCTGTGGGCTCACTCTTGGCCACTGAGGAGAGTGGGTCAAGGGGACCGAGTCTAGTGTCTTGGGAGCAGAGGTATGGCCCAGGGCAGCCAAGGACTTGCGCCCAGGAGCTGGTCTGGGACCTCCTCCTCATCAGGCTGCCCCTTGCAGAATCCACACAGGTGACAGACCCTACAAGTGCCCACATCCTGGCTGCGAAAAGGCTTTCACTCAGCTCTCCAACCTCCAGGTGAGTGCCTGCCTCCCTCCTGTGCCCCAGGGACACAGCCGCCTCCCCAAAGGGAACATAAGAAGGGGGGGGGCGAGTGGGGGGTCCCACTGCCTCCTGACCCCCTGCTGTGCTCCTCACAGTCTCACCAGCGCCAGCACAACAAGGACAAGCCCTACAAGTGTCCCAACTGCTACCGGGCCTACTCGGACTCCGCCTCCCTGCAGATCCACCTCTCGGCCCATGCCATCAAGCACGCCAAGGCCTACTGCTGCAGCATGTGCGGGCGGGCCTACACCTCGGTGAGTGCCAGCCCGGCCCCAGCTGCCTCCCCACTGTACTGACTCCCCACTTTGCAAGCAAAATAACAGGCCCAGAGAGGGAAAGGGACTCCTCACGATCACAGACAATGGCTTCTGCTTCCCACTTCAGTGTCTGTCTGCCCCAGACCGAGCTGGCCACCTTCTGCCTGCCTTTATCCTGGGTTTCTAAGGCCCTAGAATCCTCAAGGTAGTGGTGGGGGCTGGGCACCCTGCTCTGTGAGTCAGGGAGAAGAGTCTCCTTGCTTCCTGTAGCTGCAATCCCCATTATGGACACAAGGGGGCACAGTGACTTGGCTCAGTCACTCTCATCTCAGGGAAGGCCTGAATACCACCAGAAGGGTCATTGCATCCAACTCCCTGTCCCTGGGTGGGAAAATTCCCCAAATGGGGGCCTTTGGTCACCCAGGTGAGTCACTTTTGTTTGTGCTTTAGGTTCTTTAAATATTCTGGTTAACAGACTCTCATACACCCAACATAGGGATCACTGAGCCTCAGGTTCCTCATCTGTCAAATGGATTAACTCATGGGGTTTCTGGCTGGCAGAGTAGTGCCAAATAAACCTTAGCTAGTGCAATGACTTATTCACCTGTTGTTTACTGAACACTCTGCCAGACTCTTGGGAATTGGATACCAGACATTTATTATCCTCAGGAAGGTTAAAAACTACTGTTGGAGATAGATATTAAACAAGTAATCACACACATAAACATTTAATGGAAAATTGTGATCACTGCTCTAAAATAGTTTCTCAACCTTATTGACATTGAGCAGGATACCTTTTTTGTCATAGGGCGCTGTCTTGCATCTAGTAGGATGCTAAGCCATGTCTGGACTCTACCAACTAGGTGCCAGGAACAATAAGTTGTGACCATTGGAAATGTCTCCATACATTGCTATATGTCCCCTGGGGGTCAAAATTGTCTTTGATTGAGAATCGCTGCTCTAGGGATTAAGAGACAGCAGCAGGGGAAACTATAAAATAGAGTTGGGAAGGTTGAAAGGTCCAGATAAGGCTATCTGAGAAAGGAACATGTGTTAGTCAGCTTTCTGTTACTTTGGCAAAATACCTGAGATAATCAACTTTAAAAAAATGAAAAGTTAATTTTGGCTCACAGTTTTGTAGGTTTTAGTCCATAGTTACTCCTGTTGCTTTGGGGTCTGTGGCAAGACAGCACATCATGGCTGGGAGCATGTGGTAGATAGAGCAAGCTGCTGGCCTCATGATGGCCAGGAAACAAAGAGAGGACGAGGAAGAGGCTATGGTCCCAATATCCCTTCAAGGGCCTACCCCCAATGACCTAACTTCCTCCCAGTAGGTCCCATGAACTGAGGACTAATAAGCCTTTAATACGTGGGCCTTTGGGAGACATTGTAGATCCAAACTAGCAGGACATTTTGATGAAGCCTTGAAGGATAATTAAATGAAGAGGAGAAAGAGGGGCAAGAACCTTACATGTAGAGGACAGTTAGTGCCAATGCCCTGGGTGGAATAAAAATGGTGTGTAGCAGGAATTGATTGGGGGGCCTTGGGAGCCATTTGGAAACTTTGGATATTTTCCCAGGTAGAATGAGAAGCTGTTCTACCCCTGAGAGTGTCAGAGAGCATGTTGTTGAAATGTCAGTGTCACTCTGGGTGGGGGGTGGGGTGGGGTCATCATAGTCAGGACTTGTCAGGTGCCAGCCAGGGCTGCTCTTGCCCAGTGCTGAGTGTGTGATATTTATCCTCCCTGGAGTCGAGTCTGTGGGGCAGAGGAGAGCTAAGAGGACAGACCTGCGGACGAGGGTCCCCAGGAAACCCCCCTCAGCCACTGACCTTCAGTCTGTCCCTGCGTCTCCCAAGTCCCACACTCTCGATGGCCCCCTTCACCATCTCCAGTCCCGCCTTATCTGAACCCCTAGTTTTTAAAGCAAAACCTAGACATCAATTATTTCATTTGTAAATGAAATTTATGTCTCTAATGATAACTCCTTTTTTTAAAGAGAGCATTTCCACATATCTAATACTTCTATATAGTCAGTGTTGATGATTTTCATTTCTCCTGCATGTCATAATTTTATTTATTTGTGATGTTATTTTTTCAGTCTTTATTAATTTTTGCAGTGTTATTTTTTAATCAGTATCCAAATAAGATTCCTATATTGTACTGGGTCAATGTATCTTTTAATCCAGAATTCCCCCTTTTCTTTGCTATACACTCGCAGAAGAGTTTCCTAGGGTGGCTGTTGATGGGTGCCTGTCTAGGTCACCATGTATTATCACACTGTCACATCTGAGGGCTTCCTCTGCTACATCTGAGCAGGTCCAGGTATGAGGCCCTGGAGTGGCAGCTGGGGACCCAGAATGCCACCTTGTTCCTGATCAAGGCCAGTGGGTGATATGGTGTAGCTTGAGGTCAGGGGTCTACAGTGAGCCTGGGTCCCTTTGCTCACCTACTGGTGCTGCCTCAGGACAGATTTAGCAGAGCCTGTGAGGGTCCCAGGCCTGGCTTTACCCCTAGGGTAGGTCCAGTGAGGCCAAGACTCCTACCACCACCTGGGAAAAAAGTAGAGATTGGGGAAAAGAGTGGTGCCCTCAGCCCCGGCTGCATGCTGAGGGCTTTATTCATATCACCATGACAACCCTTCCCTTCCCTTCTTACAGAGGAGGAAACTGAGGCTCAGGGGTGAGATGACTTCCTAAGATCTCACCACTAAGAAATGGCAGAACTAGGCTCAATGCTGGGCCCACTGCCCACCCCCCACCCACCCTTGGGAGCCCCCAGCCAGGTGCAGGGACTCGAGCTGTCCTGCAGACAGGGCTATGTCTCATGCAGTGCTCCCTGCTAGAGCCAGTTGGTAAAGGTAGCTGACCTGACTTTGGGGAGCCACAGGTGGGCACTGCTGAGGGGCTGGCCTGGTACCAGTCAGCTCCCCCAGACAGCGCTCTGTGGGCTCTGAGCCTGGCAGGGTGGCTAGTGCTGATGCTGGCAGCAGGGCCATATCCCAAGAGCCAGTGCCCAGGCCCGGCTGGGCCTCCAGACTGTGGCTGCAGACTACCAGTGTGACCACCTGCCAAGGACCCCTGCAGTGGCCACTTCTGGGAGCTGCAGCCTCCCTTGCCTCCTTTCCAGTGGTGACCATTCTGCATCTCACCCTGCCCACAGGAGACCTACCTGATGAAGCACATGTCCAAACACACGGTGGTGGAGCACCTGGTGAGCCATCACTCACCCCAGAGGACGGAGTCCCCAGGCATCCCGGTGCGAATCTCTCTCATCTGAGCCCCACCTGAGGCGCCGCCCGCCCGGCCCACTGGCAGGCTGACACCGGCAGCACCAGGCCCCGGGGCCTCCGGGCACTGCTGATCTCTTCATGACCTTCCAAACCTGCCAGGAAGCTTGGGCTGCAGAAGCCCTGCTTGGTCCAGTCCCGGGCCGGTCAGGCAGGCCAGTTGCAAGGTTCTGGACTGTTTTGGTGGCATCCAAAGACGATCTCAGAGCACTTTGAACCTGTCTGTTGAGTTTTCTTTTTGTTCCCCACCCCTCACTTGCTTCACTTTTTTTTTTTTTTAAGTTTGTTTTGGAAATAACAAAAAAAAAAAAAAAAAAAGCTATTTATTGGCCAGGACATTGGTGCTGCTAAGACCGAGAAATGAAAAGGATCAGGCAGATGGATGCAGAGAACCAGAGGGCTGCGTGGGACCTTCTCTGGCCATGGCCTCAGGTCTTAAGGGAAGGCTCAGGTCTGGGGCTCTGGACTGCAAAGGGGTCCCCAGATGGGTGGGAGCCGAGGCAGCTGGAGTTGAGCCCTTTAGCCCTGGTGTCCAGCTCCTACCACTGAGCAGAGGGTGTGGCAGCTACCAGGGCTGTCCAGGCTTCAGGAGGCCGAAAAACGAGGGGCCGGGAGATCTGTAGGACCAAAGGGTGCAGTGACAGGCTGGGCGGCGGGCCCAGGGAAATGGGGTGGGGTGGGCTGGGTAAGACCCGGTCCCTCCCCTGATGCCCTGAAGACCACCCCAGTCTACCTCGGTGCTGGCCAGGAAACCTATCGGCTACCTCTCCTGTCATCCCAGACTGTGGGCAGGGGGATGGGAGGGAGTGGGCCTGGGCCTGGGACCTCCTTCCAGAATTTCCTCCAGATGGGGTCAGCGCCCAGGGTGGGGGAATCCTCAGCCCGGGTGCACCCCTCCGCAGGGAAGGGATCCTTGGGGAGGGTCCCAGGAGCAGACCCTGCCCCCAGCCCCCACAGACACACCCCAATCTGAAAGCCATGCGTGTCCATGTATATAGGAACCATGTACAGAGCCCGGAGAAGCCCTTCCACATCCCCTCGGGAAAAAAAAAAAAAGAAAACTAGACAGAAACTCATCTATATATTCTGTATCTGGAGTTCCGTTTTGAATATTAACTGTGTTATTTTTATACACTTTTTAAGCCTTAACTCGCCATTGATTTTCCAGTTTAACGTTTCCTGGGGTTTCTTTTCCCATGGGGTTCTCTGCCCCCACCCTCGCCCCTTTGTTTGACTTGCGTCGTCTGATACTCAGTATTGTAGCTTTTTGTCCGCATGTTATTGCCCTGTAAATAAGCTGTCATACATACTGTTAACACCCCTTTGCTTTTTTCTATGGGACCTCCAGGCCACCATATTTAGAACTAGTTACCTTATTAAAAAAAAAAGAAAAAAAGAAAAGAAAAGAGTCTGTTGGCTTCTCAGTCTGCATCTTGGTGGCAGGGAGGTGAGGGCAGGTGTCCCTCAGACACTTCAGGAGAGAAGTTTGCATCCTATTTTAAAAAGGGGGTGGGGAGCAAGGTAAAAATCGAATGTGGGGGAAAAACACTAAAAGGGGCAAAAAAAAAAAAACTAGGGAATTACAACCCCTCTGCTCTTTGTATTTCTCTGTTGTGAAGAATAAACTGTACCTGCACCCGGGTGGCAGTGATGTGTGACGTGCTGTGTGTGACAGCGGGAAGGGGCACCTTTCCACGACTCCTCTCCCCTCCCCTCCCCTAACTGGGGGCAAGGAAATGGTGGCTTACTGGGGGCTGGTCTCACCCTAGGGCAGAGCCCCTAGTGCTCTGTGCTGAACTGTTAAGTGTCAAGGACATACGTTTACCAGGTCTGTCTAGTTCTAAAGCCTTTGTACATATTCTGGATCCACCAAGGGGTCTCACTTGTGCTGCTTTCTGAGGAGCACCGCACCCTCTGGGGGCTCCATCAAGAGTGCCTGGTTTGTGGAAGCTGTTCCCACGTTTGAAGGGAACAGACTTTCTTCAAGAGGTCCCCTCCACGCACATTTCCCCCCACAGAGGAGCCAGTGTTGTGACTGCATAGGAGGAGAATAAAGGAATGAATCCCCCCAAGTTTATCGAGGCTGGCCCTGTGGAGCGTCCTGGGGTAACTCAGCCACAAGCCACTGTGGAGCTCATCGTTGGGACCTCATTCTTCTGAGTCCTCATGGTCTTCATGGGTCAAGGCTTGTCGGCGAGTGACAGAAGGTCCAAATTCCTAGGACAGCTTCAGCATCCAAAGAATGTGTCGCTGGCTCTCCACTGGCTCTTCATTCTCAGGTTCCTGTGGGGTCAACTCCAGCCTACAGTCCTGCTCAGCCTTCCAGCAGCCATCCTGTCCCTTTGTCAGAAGCCCCAGCAGGGATCTCATGGGGTCTTCCTCCTTCTGGCCCAGGCATGGTATGTAATGGTTTGGCTTGGGCCCATGATCTACGGCTGGAGCAGAGAGCAAAGCCTCCATCCAAAGTATATCTTCCCAAGAGGAAACCAAGAGTACGTTGCCACAGAAGGGGGAATGAATGGGGGGATCCCAGAACCAGCATGTTTTCATTAATCTCAAGGCCTCATTTCTTGCTCTGAAATTGACTTTCCACAGCCTGCAATGCCTGGAGGGGATGGGCTCTGGCAGCTATATGGTACCATATGACCCCATTCCAGCCTACAGCTGATTGGCCAGAGGTTGGCACCTGACTGACTCCATCCATGGTTGTAGCTAACTGTGTCCTGGCTCTGGAGGGCAGATCCTGTGTATCTCTTCCCAAGGGACTTCTTAGTAAATGCTGGTAGCTTATAATTGACCACGGTGGGATTTATACCATGGAAAATGGCAAATGCTAAAAATCAGGGCTTTCTTTTTCCTTGAAGAGCCAGTTGCTATTTACTGGCACACCACTGGATGAAACTGCTTTAGATCTCCAGTCCATGAATCAGGAACAAATTAGTTAGGAAAAGGTGGGCACCTGAACTGGAAGACCCTATAGCTAGGGGTTGGGGTAGCTGTATGGGTCCAGACACAAACAGAACAAAGAAGGCAGGAGAAAGCAGAAATGGACGGAGGAGATGGAGAGCTAGTGACAACCTCGGTTCCTTACAATATCTTTATCCTCTAGTCATGTTGCTTTCCTGTTTGTTCTGGAAACCCTGAATTTAGGTTCTAATGGGGGAAGTGACTTAACCTCTTCATATCTGATTTCCTCTTATGTAAATGGGATGAATAATGGTGAACAATTTATAGTGTGGATGTGAGGATGAAGTGAATCAATACATGTTTAATGCTTAAAGCTGTGCCTGGTACACGTAAGTACCCCCAAAATGTAAATGTCATTATTGCTATTATTAGACTTAGCTCCATTGGATCTATGTTCTTTATGATCATTGATTCCTAAGAGACTTAAAGATGTTCTGGTATTTGCGGGGGTGATATCTGAGCTGGCATGAGAGGGTGGGGCACCTGGGACAGATGAAGATTCTGTATTTAGCAGTGACACTTGGGACTGAGAGTTGTATTTTCATCTGCTTGCCTGGGGAATATGTGAGCACCCCTGTCTGTGTGGGCCCCAGGATAGGTGCTGAGGAGGACAGTGGTGAGCGCCACAGCATTAGCTACAGAAGGAGTTTTTTTCTCCCTGTCAAACCTGTCTCCAACCCAAGTCCTTCAATAATCTCTGCTCCCTCCTTAGGCCTCTGGGATCCATAGGAGGGAGCCATTCTCAAGAAGCTGCCAACACCGCTCTACTCTGCCCTGCCTCAAGCCCCTCCCCTTCCTCTGGAAGGTCTTCATCAGCAGCACATGGCTGCCCAGAGCCTGGGATCAGGAAATTCCCAATTTACCATGTTTTCCCCTGTAAAACTCTGTTCTTGGGTGAATTTCTTGCACTCCATGAATTTGCTAGGAAAGGGCAGGCAGAGAGAGGAAAAAGACAATATCTGTCCTCTGAAATATCACCAAAACCCCTAAGAGGGCTATATGTGAGGAAACTGAGACTCGGCCCAGGTAAGGAACTTGTCTACATCACACACACAGAAGAGGAACGGGTTCACATCCAGCTCTCACTGGCTTGTGGTCAGCTCTCCCACCGTCCAAGGGTGTTAAGGTTGGTGAAGTCTGCAGCAGAAGGTGGAGGATAAACATTGCCCCACCAGGGGGAAGGCACATGACAACTTAGTCAGCCAACAATGAATGACCTTTTCTTGGGCACACCTGGCTTGCCCTTTCTCTCATCCAGAGTCCACAGGGACTGAGTTTTGCTCATCTAGTTTCGGTAGAAGGAACTGGGAAACTTTGAACTGCTTTTGAAAGGAGAGATTCCTCTTTTATCATCAATACTTGAACTTGTAAAAATTTTCAGCATTTAAAGATCTTCAGGGCCAGGTAAATAGCTGGAATTGCTGTCCTACCTGCAAACGGCGGAGGCTGCTAAAAATTCAAGGTCAGTGAGAATGCTCCATAGAAAATATTGGAGACCCACAGTGAAGTCCTACTCCCTGAGGACCTCAGTTTCCCCAACTGTCTGACAAAATCTTCAGGGCTTCCAGTGGCCACTTTCTTTGGAAAGGTCTGATGACTTCCAGCCCCCACTCAGAGCCTGTGTTTGTTCCCGTAGTTTGAAGAGTCAAGTGCAGGTGTGGATGAGGAAAATTACCTCCCAGATTCTGGCCAAACAGCCTTACCAGCCCAAGGTCAGGAATGTAATTTTTTATTTTGGGTGGTGCTGGGGACTGAACTCAGGGCCTCACACATGCTAGGCAAGTGCTTTTACCTCTGAGTCACATCCTCAGCCCACGAATGTCATTTTGTGTGTGTGTGTGTGTGTGTGTGTGAGATTTGATTATAGTAGAAAAGGCCCATGTGGACAAATTTGGAAAAATTTATCTATTATAATAATACTCACATATGTACAAGTCATGCTTATGGGCAGGACAGGTAAAAAGGGAGAGCCAATGACCAGAATGCCTCCTGTGTTTGTCCCTCTATGGCTCATTCTCAAAGTCAACTGGACTGAGAGTGGAGTGGAGTCAGACAAGAGTCCTGGCTCTCCCAAATGCTGATGCCACTACACAGATCCTCAGCCTCTGGCGATTATGTTCCCTCTTTGTGTGTCAATCTTGTTTAAAAGCGAGTGGGGTGGGGGGTGAGGAGATGAGGTAGGGATAGAACATCACTTGAGGAGGCATCAGCTGAATTCTGGACTGTCACAGAGGTGTTTCGGTTGTGTTTCAGCCCACATTAAAAGTGAGGGAAGGGCGCACAGGAGCGGAGCTGGTTCTTTTCATTCAATCTTTCTCTGTCCTCCAAAGTATCATGTGGCTTCCAGAAAGAAGCCAACTGAAGGAAGGGTCTCTCCCTCCTGTTAACTCCTAGTCCACGTCATCCGGTGTCAGTGTCGGTGGCTGGCGCTAGTCGCGCAGGATCGCGTACTCCTTGGGCGCAGAGAGCAGACGCGGCCGGCGAATCTCGGGGCGTGGGCCGATTTCCGGGCTCCAACAGAACTCGGGCGATAGCACCTTGGCGGGCTTGTGCAGCCAGAAGTATTTGTTGAGGTGGCTCTCATCGTGCCAGAGCGCCTCGAGGCCGCGCTCGCGGTCCTGCTGCTGGGCGCGCGCGCAGTGAGCCGTCAACCCGCGCAGCGCGGCCACGCTACCCCCGAACAAGGCGGCGTGGTAGTAGAAGTCGCCCTCGCCCTGGGCCACTGCGGCGGCTGAGCGCGAGTCGCGCTCGAAGGGCAGCAGCCACCGCGGCCATCGGTAGTGCCAGGCGTGCAACTGCGCTACTGACTCTGCCAGCGCCTCGGGCCCAAAGGCGCTGCTGAAGTGCTGGTCCACGTCCATGCAGAACACGAAGTGCGCCTCGCGCCCTAGACGCCCTCCTAGTGCCTCGTGCAGCGTGCGCATGCGTGCCATGGACACGTCCTGCCAGCGCCGCTCGCGCACTACGTACTGCACTCGCAGCTGACGGCCGGGTCCCAGCGCCACGCGAGGCACAGCAGCGGGCCTCTCGGTGAACACGTAGTACACCACGCGCTGGCCCACCATGAAGTGCTCCTCCGCGGACTCCAGAAAGCGCGCCAGGTACTTCTCCAGATACCTGCAAAAAGTCAGCCTGGCTGTCTGCCCTTCCGCACTCGCCACCCCCGCCTGCATTCGTGCTTCCCAGTCTTGCCCACACCGGCTCCGCAACTCCAGATCCCCCAACCTTGGAGAGGCGGGTTAAAGATGGTGCAAGTTGTCTGCACCATCTTCTCTGAATATACTTGCCTCTGACCGCCCGGGTCCATAGGGTACCAGGGAAGCTATGCTGTGCTGGCCCTTGGAGGACTGACAGTGATCGCCTCTTTAGTGCTCTAGGCCTTCCATCAAGAGGTCCCAGAACTTGGTGCTGCCACGAATTGAGGAAACCCAGGCTAGTGACATAGAAAGGCTCCGGCTGGTCATCAGCCCTTGGTCTCCTAATGGAGACCCAGACATTTGAGACCAGAGAGGAGCCCTTCCGGCTGAGCCCTCTGAATTCCTGGCACACTAGATCATGCTGTAAGAATAATACATTGTTTTAAGTCATTGAGTTTGTAGAGTGCTTGAAATACTGGAAACGTTGTTATTACCAGCTCTTAGGATACTAGAGTTTTAAAATGAAAGTAATAATGCCTGATATTTTGAACATCTATCACTGTAGCAGACATTTTGAAGTCAATGTGCATTATCTCATTTAAAGAGCTCTAATAAGTCCTAGCTACTTGGGAGGCTGAGGCAGAAGGATTGGAAATTTGAGGCCAGCTTCAGCAACTTGGCGAGACCCTTCTCAAAGTAAAATAAAAAGGGATGGGGGATGTTGCCCAATGGCAGAGTGTCCCTTGGGTTCAATCTACTGTACTATAAACAAAGCTCTAACAACTTAGAAAAGTATACTTGATTGGTAAGTGGTGGTAAGTAGTACAGCCAGGATTTGAATCCAACTTGGCATTGAAGCTTGTATCTTTTCTTGCACTTGCTCTATTCTTGGTGGGACTGTGGGAAGAGGAATCAAGGATCTTGGAAACTTCAACATTCCAGGGTGCTAGACTTACAGGGTCTTGGAACTCCAGACCTCAGGATCCTGGAATTTCTGTTCCTTGAGACTCCATACCTGGAGGCCTGTCCATTGCCTGGCCTATCAGTTCTTTGATTGACCTCCTCTCCTGTGATTCTGTCCTCTATCCACATTTACTTATGCACTCCTGTGGCCACTCCCTCAGGTTGGACATCATTAGCATCCCATCTTCAAAACCGCAGCCTCACCCACGCCACTGTGTGGGTTCCTCATTCTTCTAGGTCACTTGCTCTGATTTACACCCCTCACAGTCCTGCCTCACTGAGCCCTCTAATCTGGTGGTCTTCCCACTTCTCAGTCTCTGTCACCTCCTTCCTCTGTGTACCTTCTTTACACGCTCAGATTCACTCCCTTGCAAGCCCCCTAGCTCTCCAGCCCCTCTCCCTCCATCTGGCTTTCCTGGCGAGACCCGCCGTACTGTGCGCTATGGCTGAGCTGCTGCCTCCAGCAGCCAGTTCTGTCTCTCTGTTTATCCAGTTGCTCTTTCCCTCTTCTCCCCTCTCACCTGGAAGACTCCACCATTTCCTCACCAGTGACATGCCACTTCCTGGTGGACAGCCCTAGCCCCTAAGCAGGTTCCTTCTGGCACATAGTTCTGAGCCCCTGGCTGGGTGGGCTCCATGATATTGGTGTCCAGGGAAGAGGGGAAGGGAGAGGATATTCCTGCATTCACCCTGGGAGTCTGGGACAAGGGTGCAGCCTCCATCTGCACTTTGGGATCCAAGGCCCAGGGCCACGGGGCCACATCCTTCCCACTCCCTGCTGGACAGTGGCGCTCCCTTCCCCAGGCTTACCTGCCGACAGCAAAGACAGTCAGCCCAATGGTGAGGTTCTGCCGTCTGGCCTCTCGCTGGGCTATATCTGGGTCGAAGGTGCCATCCCAAATAATGGGGGCCCCCCAGGAAGTACAGGTCGGGACTTCAGGCCGGGCCCTGGCCAGGAAAAGGATGGAGAGAGCTCTAGTCACCCACTCATGGATGCATGATTACTGCCACCTCCCCTAGGGACCTAAGATGCATCAGACCAGTCCCTGCCCCTAGGTCGGAACCACCCCTAGACAGTTAAAGGAGAAGTATGACCCAGTGGGGCCCCTGGGGTTGGGAGTGCAGTGCCTGGATCTGTTGGAATAGCACTTGAAAGGAGGACAGGGACCTGGGACAGATGTCTAGGTTTGTGGGCATTCTTAGAGTGGGGGGGGGAGGGGGGAGGGTAACTCCTTACCAGGGACGCAGGACACCTGTGAAGTTGTCTTTCATCAGGAGCATTGTGGCTGAAGGGCAGACACCCATGGGGATGAAGACTTCCAGATGCCTAAGGGGTGGGGGCAGCAGGAAGTGGCATGTCACTTGCTCAGGAGGGAGGGCTCATAAGGACACTTGCCCAGGCCAAGCTAGCCACCACCCTCCGTCTCTCAATAAGGCACTTGGAAAGAGCCACTTTAAATGTGACCCTGGTGGTGGTCCCATCTCAGGTGCTGGGGAAGAGATTTGTACCTGAGTATAGGGAGCCAGTTCAGAAGGAGCAACCCTAAGAGGCCAAGTGCAAGCAGGATCAGTCGCCAGAAGGTTCTCTTCCTGGGCCTGGAAGGCAGGGGGATCAGCAGCCCATTTATACACACACACACACACACACACACACACACGCATGCACATGCAAGGTAGAAATCATTTTTGTGATTTCAGTGCTTCATTTTATTTTATTTTGAGTAAGAATAACTGTTTACATGGTACAGACATTCAAAAGGATGAAAGATAGATAACACTGAAAAGTTCCTTCCTGTTCCTCCGCTTGGAAACAGCTAGAGTGACCAGTTTCATGTCTTTCCAGCAGTGGTCTGTGCATACACAGGGACCGGTGAATGTGGTGGCAAGTACTCTCACTTCCTTTCTTTTAGTTCCCCAGAAACGGTAGCACAGTGGACATGCTGTCCTGCACCTTTTCTTCCTCACTGACCAGTATGCCTGAGTTATCATCTCAGCACTTAGAGAACTCCCTCACCCTTTTGTCCAGCTGCCTGATGTGCCACAGAGTGTGCCCCGGCTGCCTAACCAGGGCTCCTCTGATCCTTTCCTCTGGACAACAATGGTGCAGGTCATGACTTTGGGCAGGCACGGAGGACAGGAGCATCAAGGCTTGGGGGGCTTAGCCTGGGGAGGGATGAGGATGACCTTGGACAAGAGAATAGGCCAGAGGAGGCTACCGGTTAACTTATAGGTTGGTGGCTGGGAGTGAAGAGCTGTCTGGGACCTAGAGATGAGGTCAGGCTGGCTGTGGTCAGAGACCATGTGCTTGTGGCAGCCCCAAGCCAGGCTGGGGGAAGAGTTCCTTCCGCAGACCTTAGTGGCCTAATTGCTGGCTTAGGGGAGGTACTTTTGGAATTTGTCTATGGTAAATCCAGGAAGGGTCTCAAATGTTGAGAATCTTCTGGAACCACATGGTAAGGAGCAGACACGGGGGCCAGACCCTCTGGTCTGAAGCCCAGCTCCACCACCTCTAAACTCTCTGAGCTCAGGCAAGGCCTGACACATCATTCTTATCTGTAAGATGGGGTAGTAAGCCCGTAGAGGGCTGCCGTGGACTCTGAGATAACATGAGCTGAGTGATTAGAACGAGGGGCTTACACACCGTAATCGCTCCCTCCACTGTTGATGACGACTCTTCCTAACAGATCCTCATCATGCCCTGGGCAGCCTCTAGCTCTGCCCCCTGCCCTATGAATTCTTCCAAACCCCAGCTCCCCTGCTCTCTTTCAAAGAAGGCTGCCTGCCTCAGACCCTCTGCCCCTGCCTTTTCTGCTATCCTACTTAAGGGACGAACCCAGGAGAGGCTCTGAAAACCTTGGAGTGTATGTGTGTGTCCACCTGGACACCCTCTCAGCACACAGCACCTCCTTCTATTCATCTAGTCAACCTGAAACCTGCGGCCCCCCAACCACTCCCTCTGCTGCATCCACTGTCTGCTGTCAGCCCCTGGGTTGGGTTGACTTGTCCTTCTTGATCTCGCCCCTTCCCGTGCCTCCACCCACTGCAACCTCCATCATGATCCTAGCCTGATCATCTGTCACCAAGACCATTGCAGTAGTTCCCTCGCTGCTCCCTGTCACTCCCTGCACAGCCCCCAGAGCCATCTTGTAAAACATTAACCTCCTTTAATAGTGTCTGTGTCACACAAATAGGTAAATCCTCGAAGAGATGCCTTCAGTAGGCAAACATATGGAAAAATGTTCACCCCCACTAGTAATCAAAGACATACAAATCAGAGCAAGGTGGTCGGTTTTGCCTATAAAATGAACACTTTAAAGAACAGACATAATGAAAACAGCCCAGCTTCCAGCACACAGTGAGGCAGGCTCTCTTATGCTTGCTGGTGGCTGTGTGGATGGTTGGGCCTTGTGGAAAGTTTCCTGGCTGTGGGTTGAACTCTTCGAATGCTCATTCCCTTTGATTCAGTAACCCCAGTCGCTGGGAATCTGTTCAAAGGAGGTAGCCTTCAGTGTGGGGAACAAAGTGTGCACATGGAGACAGTCGTCAGATTCTGTCTAGACATGCTTTCTACACGTCCAGATTGGGCACAGGCACTCAGAGGTGTGGAGCCAACAAGGGGTGGATGCAGTGTGGGGTGGGGACTGAGAGGACAAGTGATGTGGCAGACTGAAAGCATGAAGGAACCAGTGCTCAGTGAATGTTGAGGAGAGCGTGCATGAGGTGTGGAGGATGAGCAGAAGGGTGGTTTCGAGCCCTGACAGAAAGTGAGGAAGTCGGGAGGCTTCCTGGAGGGGGTGACCTATCAGCTAGGACCTGAAAAATTAGAAATTATTCAAGCAAAGGAGGAAGTGAAGGGGGAAGGGCAATCATGAGCAGGAAACACAGTGAGGAGATGGAATAGAGCTGGGTGGGGCCTTCTGCCAGGCCGCCAGGGCCCACACTGCAGGCTCAGGGCCTTGGGCTTCATCTTGAGGGCCATGGGGAGCCTGGGAAGGTATTTCCTCCAGGGAGTGCCACAGCCAGAGTTTTATTTGGAAAATAAAAAATGTGTACCTAGTCAGAACGGTGGAGCCTGGACAGGGTGTGCTGGGAGAGAGGGAGGGGCTGGAGGGAGGCAAGAAAATGAGGTGGAGGTGAGGACATCTGTGCCCACTGTGGGAGCTCCAGGGAGCACAGCAGGTGTGGGGGGCTGGGTGGGGGAAAGTAGGTGGTGAAGGGCTGTCAGGCAGGCGGAATGAGCAGCACTCGGCCACCAGTTGGAGGGACAGGGCTGTCTGCTTTTCTGGTTGTGGTAGAAGCCCAGAAGGCAGGCAGGCTCGGGAGAGAGTTCTGGGGGCTCTCCAAGAGGGCAGGGGTGCCATGGGAGAGAGCATGGAGGGAGAGGAGGCCAGGCCCAGGCTTGGAGGAAGACTGAGCGGGGAGTGGAAGGTGCTGTGTGGGTGACTTCTCAGAAGCTGAGCTGTAAGCAGGAAGGACACAGGATGGAAATTGGAAGGGGCCAGGGCTGGGGTCAAGGGAGATGAGTGTTTATTTGACAAGAGGGAGACCATCTTGCTGACTGTTGCCTAGAAAACATCCACAGAGAGGCGTCTGAAGTCACAGGGACACTCACCATCTGAGCTGCTCAGGTACCACTCAGGCGAACCTGAGAAAGGCCCCAGCATCTGTCCAGAGTGACTGGCTAAACACATTGTCATGGAGACCCTGCAGTCACACAGGAAAATGCGTACCCTGGAGCATGAAAGGAAAAAAAGCAGGATCTGAAAGTGATGGCAATTTTGCAAGAATGAAAGAGTCTGAGTAAAGGAGAAAACTGTTTTTATATTGCTTTTTTTTTTTTTTTTCGGTACTGGGGATTGAACCCAGGGGCACTTAACCACTGAGCCACATCCCCAGCCCTTTCTATATTTTATTTAGAGACAGAGTCTTGCTAAGTTGCCTAGGGCCTTGGTAAGTTGCTGAGGTAGTTTTAAACTTATGATCCTCCTGCCTCAGTCTCCTGAGCTGCTGGGATTACAGGCCTGCACCACTATGCCCAACTAGATTGCTTTTATAAAGAAGAAAAATACAGGGTTAGCAATTTACAAGGAAAAAAGTTATTGTATTGCCTCCTTCTGACTTCAGGACAAAGTCTACGTCTCTCACTGCTGCCTAAGGAGCCTTCAAAATCTGAGCCCTCCATCACTGCATTTCATTGCTCCCCTTCCTCTCTTCCTGCCTCTAGACATGAACACTCCACAGTGGACAGTCCAGGGATGTTCTTGGGGCATTGTTTGTAAAAGCAAATGGATATCAATAGCCTCAGTGTTCCCCAGTAGGAAACTGGATGAAAGAATCATGCATATTACTATTTAATGGAAGTTAACATGGCCCCTAAAAAGAATGAGGAGATAATAAGAGACCCTAATGTGTTAAGTGGAGAAGGAGTAATGGGACTCCGTGTGGAGGCAGATCTCACTTCTGTGAGGAGAGGCTCCCAGGCCGTGTGTTCATGAACTCACACATGTATATCCACGTTCTATAAATGTGTAGCGAGAGTCTAGACAGAACAGCATGGGCCATCGATATAAAATGTGAGCCACATAGATGATTTAAAATTTCAAGGTAGCCACATTAAAAAAGTGAAAAGAAACAGGTGAAATTAATTTAAATAGTATTTTTATTGAACAGAACATATCCCAAACATCTTTTCAACATGTACTTGATATAAAAATTATTGAGCTATTTTCAGACTTGTTTTGTGCTGTGTCTAAACACTCAACCCAGCGTGTATGTTAGGCTTACAGCACACATGTGGCTTGTGGCAGTTCTATGTTGGACAGTGTGGATTTAGAGGAGAGGTACCAGCTGTTGGTGGTGGACTCAGTGGAGGGTGGAAGGGGCGCCACACCCCCACCTCCTCCCTGACCGTGTGCAGTGAGCATCGCTCCTTCTGCCATGTACCAGCTAGTTGCCTCCCATCAGGCTCTGCATGCCTGGAGCCCCTGGTGGGGCTGATCTGGGCATCATGGGTGCAGTGACCTGCGGGCATTGGTGCTGTCTGAGCTCTCTATTTGAGGGTCTCACAGCATCTCAAATACATATGGCCAAAAAGGAACCCTCAATTTTCCTTAGAAACCTGCACCCACTCCATCTTCTTCATCCTGGCAAGTGACGCCATGATCATTCCTCTGCCCTATTGCACACACGCCTTGGAGTCTCTCCCGAGGCCTCTTTTTTTCTCATTCTCCACATCTAATTCTCCAGCAAGCCCGTGCCCCCCCCAAAACACACTCAGTCTGTCACTGGCCTTCCCCCGCTTCTCACTGCACTCCAGGCCATTGTGCCCTGCACCTGGACGACTCCCCCTGGCCACCTCACCGACCTCCCTATTTCTACGACTGCCTCCTACAATCCATTCTCCAGAATGATCTTTCAAAATGTTAGTGGATCCCACCCCTCCCCTTGCCAAGGTCTTCTGATGGTATCTCACTGCTCTTAGAAAAAAATCCACACCAGGACCGCCTCTCTCCCCCAGCTCTGTGGATCTCCCCCATTCCTGCACTTGCCGCCCAGCCACGCAACACATCTTTGCTGGGTTCCCACTGCCTGTTCCTCGGGACTCAGTTACAACTCTTTGCACTTCCTCCTGCACCCATCTCGATCCTTCACCTTCCGAGTGAAGTTGACTTCGTGTCCAGTCCCATCTTTGTTCAGACCGCTTTCCCATCCTCTGCCAGTCAGGTTGCTGGCTTCCTCCTTAACACCTCCCATTCCCCTCCCCAGGAGGTTCCTCTGGCCCTTGCCAACCTGTGAGGGCACAGTCTTCCCTGTGGGGCTGAGTGCCCCTGTCTCATCAGCCTTGTTACTCTGCCCCAAAGCCTGGAACCTGCCTCATACTTGGTGTTATTAAATAATGAATAATTTGTTCAGTAAATGGCTGGGGTGCTTTCTCTTCATCCTTTCCCAAACTGACTATTACTCATTTGCTTTAAACTCCATTTTTCCCAGAATTAAGTCTGCACTCATTAATAATCCCAGACACTGCTAAGACATGTACAGAATTAAGTCTGTACTCTACTATCTTGTTGAAGTCTGACCACAGTCCCTTGCAGAGGGCTCTAGGATTTTTTCCACCTTGGGAGTGAGGAGATCAAAGCTCAGAAAAAGTTAAATCACTTCCTCAGCAACACAAGCTGGCAGGAATGAGTCTTGAGTTTGGGTCTGACTTCTGAGCAAGGCCTTTAATGGCATTTGGGCTCCTTGGGACTGGACCCCTGTGCAACCTGAGCACCTCTCACAGGGTGCCTGGCTCCTCCCAAGTGACCTGTGGCCAGTGGCCAGTGGCTAGTGTCTCTCCTGCAAGAAGCCTCCCCTTCCACACTTTGTCTTTTGCCCCCTCTGGACTCCTGGAAGACTGGCCGCAGCTGTGCTTTTCCAGTTTCCGGAAGCCTGAGTCCGTGGTTCTGGCAGCCGGCAAGTTTGGCCGGGCTGCAGGGGTAGGAAATGGCAGGAGCTGGCCACTCACTCTCTGCCTTATCAGCTTTCTTGACCCTTTTAACCAGCCCCCAGCCCCGCCCAACCAGGGTGGGACAAGCCAAAGTTTATCTTGGGCACTGGTCTGTCAGGGTAGCCAGGCAGAGCTGGTCCTAAGTGGACCAGGCAAGCTTAAATGGTCAGCTCAGGGTGAGTGCTGGTGCCCAAGCCTGGGGTGGGGACCCACCAGCTCCACCCACTATTCCTGTGCCCCAGTCTGAAGCCCTTACCCTATAGGTACCTGCCTGACCCACTCCTCCACATTCCTTGGTCAAATAGCCTCAAAAGGACCTGTCTGGCCCTGTTCCACCAGCAGAAGGTGGTCCCTCAAGCCCCGCCCATGCCCTGCTCTCCCTCCTCCCTCTCAGGATCAGCCATTAGTCCTCCAGGAAGAACAAGTTCCTAGTCCTGGACAGTGAGGCCCACCGGGGGACTAAGAACCTCTCTGGCCTTTGCTCTCTACCTCACCAAGAGAAGAGGAGGCACCCAGGTCTTCTCCAGGTACACAGGTCTCATACCCCACAGTCCATGCATGGCTGTGTGAGCCACCTTTTCCCAGGGCTTGTGGCTCAGATTATTCTCGGCTAGCTAACATTGGTGCCTCTCCTTTGACTGTTCTGCCCACCAGACTGCACCTCTCACAGGTTGGCTGTCCCACTGCCCCACTCCCTGGCAGTTCCCCACTCACCTCAGTCCTTCCTTGAGAGCCATAGAAAGGAGCCAGTGGGGCAGCCGCCACGAACTTTCTCAGCTCAGAGCTGGTGAAGAAATGACCTCTTTCCCGTGGTAGGGACAAACCAGCTCCTTCCTGCCCCTAGCCTCAGGAGCCACACCCACAGAAGCAATCAGAGATGGACTGCCCAAGAGGGACCTGCTTGGGGTGGGGCTTAATGAAGGAACCTGGTTCCAGGGTAGGGTGGGGGGTGGTAACCCCCCCAGGGGCCAATCACCTGCTAGAGGGTGGATCTGAGTACGGCCAGCTCTGGTTGGCCAGGGACTTGGAGCTATTTGTACAGACTTCTTTTCCCTCCCCAGGGGTCCTAAGCCCCCTTCAGAGTCTTGTTCCTGGGACTGGCAGGGAACTGGGTGGGAAAGGGCTAAGGTGTTCCCATGGGGGAGAGCCCTGTTTCACAGAGCCCCAGCTAGAGCTGAGGGTACTGAGCACTGTGACCTTGAGCAATCCACTTCTCCTCAAGAAAGTGGGATACACATGCCCAACACTCAGGCCAGTGTGAGATAAGATCAGGGCTGTGGAACAGTTCTGTGAAGCTCATACTACCTGTTTTCAAAAGTGCAAGTTGTGTTCCATCAGAGGTACAGGAAGTTAGTTTAGTGGATTGTGATCAAGATTTTAAAACATTGAAATAAGATTGAAAAAACAGCATCAGAATGTACAGTATGCATCTGACAGGTGGGTGTTGTTGCATGAAATTTTGGTTCTATTTTAAGTGTGTAGGCACCATTGGGAAATATTTTTTAAAACTAAAGGTCAAGATGGAAAGTTAACCAATTTCTGTGTAAAGTATAAGCAACAGGAGCAAATGTATTTTTAAGGAAGCACCCTTTAAACTTGCAATAGATTCCCACTCTAAGAGTGGGACCAATAAAAATTAAACAAAGGAATCAATGTATATACACACATATCCCCCTTATTTACTCACTGAGAATGTTTTTAGAATAAAATATTAATTCTGAGCCTAAAAAACAAAACTCCAACCTTACAATAGTGAAGAAAACACAAATGTTTAGCTGTGAAAGACCATGCTGCAGTCACCATATTCTCTTAAAGTAGTGGTTTTCATTCCTTCTCTTCAGCACACACATACCAGCAAACTGGGGTGGGGCCTGGTTTTCATTTTTCCCAGGAAAAAAGTCAAGGTCCAGAAGCAGAGAGACCTGCCCAGAGGGCTGCTGGCTGCAGTGCACCTGTGCACACGCCCTGTGTGCCTTAGCAGAGGGAAGAGGTGCAGGCAGCTTCCTGCTGCGGTCCCAATCGTGGTCCCAGGACTCTCCACTCAGGCAACTACCCAAGCCTCCCTGAACCCTCTGGCTTCCCAGTGTTCCCTGCCTCTGGGACACCAAGCTTTCCAGGCCCTGGTCCTACTGGATACCAACCAGTTTGTTTCTCCTCCTCCTCCAGCGGGTAGTTACATTTTAACAGGCTCTCCAGAGAGGAGTCACCAAGATAGGGAGGGTATTGGTTCTTAAAACTTACTGTGACTAATCCGATTCAATACAGGTGGGGCTGAGCCTCAAACCCACATTCCTAACAGACACTTTAAGGAAAACCCCAATCCTGGGGAAGGAGCAGTGAGGCAGTAGTCTCCTTACTGCCCCATTCGTATCTGAGGACAGACTCCTTTCTAGATGGCCAACCTCAGCCACTGCTGGCCACTTACACCTCACCCAACGTAGCCAGCATGGACCAACTCATCCGCATGTCCAGTCATATTATCTGTGCCCTCCCACACTGCCTGGTCTGGAATGTTCTTCCTCCTACTTTAGGCAAGGCTTAGGTGTCACCTCCTCTGTATAATCATAAAATAGGCTTGTAAAGTGCTGAGTGAACCAGAGGCGTCCAAGGGCTCTTCTGGACACAGGGCAGCTCTCTCCAAGGCCATTTGCTGGGGGATGAAGTCTGGGTTCTGGCCCAGGTGTTCCAGATGCTGCTGGCCCACCAAATCTCCCAGGGGGACTCAGAGCTGAAGGGGCTTCTGGACCCTCCAGCTCTAAGGGACACCATGTGAACTGGGGCTAGGAGCAACCTCAGATGATCTGGAGTCCCAGCCAAGCATGAAGGATATACTGTTCAGTTGAGGTGGATGTCTCTCCCTCAACCAGGGTCCATTCCTTTTCCTTATCGGTGAAAAGTAGCCATTTGGCTTCAGACTGATATCCTCAGGGGAGAAAGGCACAGAAGAGGCAGATTTTGCAAATTTATTTTTAAAAAAACAAAAAGGTTAAAAAAAGTCCTTCATTTCCAACCTTGCCTGGGGGTGTGGGTGGGGAATAGAACAAGCTGAGAAAGGTGCCCACCCCTTCCTGTGAAGAGTCCAACTCTTCCCCCAGGAGCCTGCAAGGACAGGGCAAGTCAGAGGCAGGTCCTCACCCTTCCTGCCCTGCCTCCTCCTCAGGTAGCTGTAACTGCTGCTAGGAAGTTTTGTAAGCTAAAAAGTGTGGGAGTGGGAGGTCAAAGGCTGCCTTCTTCACACCAACAGTGACTGGCTGCTCTCTCCCTGCTTAATTCTCTGGGCCCCCACCACTTGGGCTCCCAGGGCGGGTGGGCGGGCAGGCAGGCAGACCCAGAGGCTCAGCTGATGTGCCCAGCCCACCGGCAGTTTCCTTAATGCTGTTTGTGAGGCAGCAGGGCAGCCAGGGGACGTCACAGTGTGGGGAGGGGCTTAGAGACCTCTTGACTCCTCTGGAGGGGGGACTTGCCTCTCCCTAGAGGCTGCCCTTCTTTTCTATTCCCCATCCTCAGGCGGAGTGGAGTCCAGGACAAAGCACTAAGTGGCCATTTGCTACAAAACACCTGGAGATGCCAGAGGGCAGCTGTGGACTGTCAGTCAGTCCAGGCTCCCACAGTCACACAGTCACACACACAGCATTAAGGCGTCTATGCCAGCAGGCACGGCCAACCTGGGCCCAGCTTCTCTCTCTCCACCTGCACCTGGTGTAGGGAAGCCCCTGGCTGCTGCCGAAACAGGCTGAAGGGGAGAAGCTGGCAACGGAAGGTTCACCAGGCCTGGAGAAGGAAGTGGAGGAAGGAAGGCAAGGGCGCTCCAGGCCTCGCTCAGGCCTGCTGGCTGCCCTTGGAAGGAACCCAACTTAGGTTGGGAAGCCCTGACCATAAACCCCCTGGAAAACGGGGGACAGAGAGAGGGGAAGAGAGCGGGGCTAAAGTACTGGGACTTTGGAAGAAGCCAGTGCTATCAATATATACAAGCATAAAGCCCCATCTTCTGTGCCACCTCCCTCTCTGCCCCTCCCACAGAAATGAAAGGCCCCTGAGAGCCATTGAGGAGGGCCCAGACCTCCTCACCAGCCATGCCCCTAGGGAGGCCCCTTTCCTCCAACTAGCCCCGTTTCTGGGGCCCTCAAGGAATGTCTGTCTGGCTCTGCTCAGTTGGGAGGAGGACCCCTGGGCCAGGATCCTGGCTGCCCAGCCAGCCCTAGGAGTCCTTGAGCATGCTGATGCGGGCGTAGATTTTCAGGGCGGGGCCCAGCTTGATGTTCATGGCGCTCATCAGATGGTCCTCCTTGAGCAGCAACAGAGCTTGCCCATCGATTTCCTGGGCTCGGAATTCCTCTGCTATCTCCTGGCAGCCTGAGGGGACACCACCAAAAACAACATCAGTTAAGCGGCCAGTGTCCACGCATGGTAGCCACTGCACTTTAGAGACAGTCTCTCCTTCAACCCTCACAGTCATACCTTGAAGATGGTGTTGCTATCTTGAGGCTTGAGAGAGGCTAAGTGACTGACCCCAGGTAGCCATGATCCAAACATCCCCATTCACGACCTTGCTCATACCTCCCTCTCGAGAAACCAACCTAGATGACCAACAAGAAGGTGCACACTGATAGGGTATGATTTCCAAGGCTAGGTCACAAAGGGCACAGCAGCTTTCACCTTGTTCTTTCAGATAGCTAACCTCCCTGTAAGGAGATCCTTCAAGCAGCCCTCTGGAGAGGCCCATGTGAGAGCGACTGAGGCCACCTGCCAAGAGCCAGCCTCACTTGCCATGTAAGGCAGCCACCGTGGAAGTGGATTCTCCGGCTAAGACCTTCAGGTGACTGCAGTCCTGGTTGACATCTTCACTAAGACCCTGCATAAGCTCCTGAGCCAGGGGCTTGGTAGAGCCATTGCAAATTCCTGACCTTCAGATAGTGATTTTTGTATTACAGCAATAGGCAACTAATATAGATTATGGTATCTGAAATAGGGGTATGGCCATTAAAAAACTCTAAACATGTAGATGGGGCCTTGGAACAGGCATGGGCAGCAACTGTAATGACTCTGAGGAGGGTCAGTTAATATAGAAGGTGCGCTGAGCTGGTAAGCAAAGGTCCAGTGGCCTCTGAGGCAACTGCTGAGGAGGTTTAAAAAAAGTGAGGAAACTGCTAAGAGAGATTGGAAGAAATGGGAATTTCAATTTCATATTGTTTTTGAAATAGCAGAAACTTTCTTAATGCTGTTTGGTGGTATGATAACATGCTGAGTTTAAAGATCCCAACAAACAGTGTGAATAGTTAAGAAGATTTCGGGAAGAATGCCAAAGGCGTTGCCTAGCTTCTTTTTGTTGCTCATAGTAAAAAAGGGAGGAGGAAAGGTTAGGTAAAGAAATAGGTGTTCAATGCCAAGGAGCTGGGGAAGACTTCCTGGCCTCTCCAGATGGCAAACGATGCTGGAATTATAAAATGGTTCTAGCCCAAGTCAAACCCAGGGCACAACCAAGAAATGATTTTCTACCCATGAAATGGAGGGTATGGCAAACCCTTTGTTCAGATTTCAGGAAGATCTAAGGTTATGCCTTAGGGGCTCTCTAAGGAGTCTGGGCAGCCTCACAGAAATGTTCAACACAGGACTCTGTTCACATTTCAACATGGTGAAAGGTTTATCTGGAAGACAATTTTGGGTGTGGTTTTTGACTAATGGAATGTACTACTATAAATATTTTAAGAGAATTATATGGATAACCAAATGCTGAATGTTTTCTCTGATATAAGGAGGCTGATTCATAGTGGGGTGGGGAGCGGGAGCATGGGAGGATTAGAGAAACTCTAGGTAGGGCAGAGGGGTTGGAGGGGATAGGAGGGGGCATGGGGTTATTAATGATGGTGGAACATGATGATCATTATTATCCAAAGTACAGGTATGAAGACACGAATTGGTGTGAATATACTTTGTATACAACCAGAGATATGAAAAATTGTACTCTATATGTGTAATAAGAATTGTAATGCATTTCACTGTCATATATAAATAAAAAAAGGAATTATATGGGTAGAAATATTGGACTGGAAGGTCAGGTAATATAAAAAAAAAAGCCAGTAGGAAGTGGGCTAAAAAACCTGCCACATTAAACAGTCAGAATTCTCTTCACAAAAAAGGAAGGGTGACTCAGAGGGTGGAACTAGAGGTGAGCAAGAATCACTCCCAGGCTGAGTCTTCACTGAGAAAATGCCAACCTGTGCTTTATTGTATTGATACTGGTGTGGATCAGTGGCTCTGGTACGTTCTTTGTTTCCCCTTTTCGATTGGGCACGTATTATTCTGCACCTATTCCATTACATGCTGGGTGTGTGTGTGTGTGTGTGGGTGGGGAGACGACAGCCTGTGATTAGTCCTCACTGTCTGCAGACTGCAAAGAACCACACTTCAGGAGCTGGACCCATGGAACCTCATCCATGCTAAGACCTGAGTTAGAAAACAAGACCCTGGACTTCAACTAATGTTGTTTTGGATTGAGACTCCTGGGGACTCTGGCAGGGGGGCAGGGTATTTTGTATACGAAGGAACTTGAACCATGTTGAGCAAGGGTTAACCCACCTCCAAATGGCTCCCAATAATCCTTACTTACTGCACTCATGTCCCTGTGAGTTCCCCAATGGATAGGGCTTATTGGTATGACCAATAAGATATACAGAAGTGACAGTACGTGACTTCTGAGACTAGATCATCAAGTGCACACTGGCTTCTGCCTTGCTCTCTTGGATTCACTACCTGTGGGGGAAAAACTGTGGCCATGATTGTTATGAGAACAGCAAGCAGCCTCTGGAGAGGCCTGTAAGGAGAACAGGCCTCTTGCCAATAGCCAGCCTCCACTTGTGCATTTGCATGACTGAGGTACCTTGGGAAAGGATCCTCTGGCCCCAGCAAAGCCTCCAGATCTTGTCCTTAGCTGACCCCTGCAAACTCATAAGACATCCTGAGACATGCAATCCTCCAGAAGTCTTTACCTAATGTAACTGTGCTATGACAGATTTGGGGAATGTAGCAATAGATGAAAATTCACTGGGTTAAGTGACAGAGCCAGGGTATGAACCAGTTCTGTGATTTGGAAGTCTGTGCTCCCAACTACTATGCCACTAAGTAGTGGATGAATAAGACTGGCTGAGCAGAGGGAGCAGCTCTGGGGTTCCACTGACCATCTGGGAATGACACAAGTCTGCCAGTCTGGGTTCCAGTCCTCATAGCTGTGCACACTCTGCCCCAAAGGCTACGTGTGGTCCCAGCTCTGTCATGCATTTCCATGTCTTCTTCCTCAGTGCAAGGTGCTCCAGGGGACGGTCTCTCCACCTGGCAAAGGCGCACTTGCCCACTGTTGCTCAGTTTAAATTTTCTTAATTTTAACGTCCTCCTTGACAGATTTCCTACGTTGTCACCTATCTCCCCTCCCAGCCTGCCCCAGGAAGAAAGATGGAGTAAATTTCATTATCATCTCTGCATTTTATGCAGACCACCTACCACACCTGTAGGTATTTAAAATTAGAGCTGAGGAATATTATTTATAAGATGTGTTCTATGCTAAAAAATAAGCTTACATGCAGGTGCTCACGTCACTCATTTCTGCACCCCAGGTCCTAGACCCGAGCCATTAAATGAACTACCTAATCCTTCCTGATGGAGTGAGGTGAGGTCTCCCGCTCCCTTTCATTCCTTGCTATTCCAGGCAAGGGCCTTACCTGGCAGAGAGCGGATGAATTCGTAGACATCTTCTACATTCCATTTGGTGGGCTCACTTGGAAGGAAGTGGTGTCCCATGCCCACCAGGTCCCGCA